AGGGGGTGTCCTCAAAACGGGGGTGCTAGGCTCTGAAACGGAACTGCTGGGGCTGGGGCTGTGGGTCAGGAGAGAGACGGTGGGGGCAGTGAAGCTCTCGCGGGCAGAAGGCAGGTGTTGCGCGAGGCAGGAGACTCCGCGGGGCCGGGAAGGGCGCTTCTGCTCCCCGGTGCCGGCGGGCTCGCGGCCGCGGCTGGCTCGCTCCGCGAAGGCCCGGGCGGCGGGCCGGAAAGCGCGCCCGGCGCGCGGGACCCTCACCTCGCACGTCCCCGGCCAGCGCCCGCCAGGTGGGCGCGTAGCCGATGCAGTGGCCGCACCACGAGGAGTAGAACTGCACTAGCCACGCGGCCGAGCTGTTGGCCGTGGCCCCGCGCACGCTGCCGCTGTCCAGCACCCACACGGCGTCCTCGCCCGCGCGGTACAGCCGCGCCGCGCCGCCCGCCCCCGGCCCCGTCGCCGCCGCCGCCAGCAGCACCAGCAGCCGCGGCAGCCGCGCGACCCGAGACGGGGGCGGGCGCCGCGCTCGGGCTCCGGGGCTGCGCGGCGACACCACCGCCGCCGCCGCCGCCGCCCCGGCCGCCGCCATGTTGGGAGTGCCACCGTCGCGACGACCTTTCACCTTGGCAACCGCCGTCATGTGGTCGCGCACGCCGGCTCCGCCCCTCGCGTCGGGTCCGGCCCGCGTGTTCGCTAGCCCGGCCCTCTAGGTTCGGCCCCGCCCCTGCCCTCCACACCTCCACGCTCGCCCCGCCCCCGAGCTCGCCCCACCCTATCCACACGCTCTCCCCACCCCCTGAGCTCGGCCCCTCTCTCCTCGCCCCGCCCCCGAGCTCGCCCCACCCTATCCACACGCTCTCCCCACCCCCTGAGCTCGGCCCCTCTCTCCTCGCCCCGCCCCCGAGCTCGCCCCATCCTATCCACACGCTCTCCCCACCCCTGAGCTCGGCCCCTCTCTCCTCGCCCCGCCCCTGAGCTCTGCCCCGCCCTCATGAGCTTGGCTCCACCCTCGGCCCTCCCTGGCTCGCTTGCCACCTGGGCCCCTTGGGAGTAGAGCTGGTCCAGATTTTTTTGTTTTTTTTGTACTGAGGATTGGCCTCAGGGGCGCTTAACCACCCAGCTACATCCCCAGCCCTTTTAAATATTTTATTTAGACACAGGGTCTCGCTGAGTTGTTTAGGGGCTTACTAAGTGGCTGAGGCAGGCTTTGAACTCAGCATCCTCTTGGCTCAGCCTCCTGTGCCACTGGGATTACAGGCTTGCACCATCACACCCAGCAGGGTTTCCAGATTTAGCAAATGAAAATATACTACCTGTGGCACAGATACTATGGCAAGGTTAAATGTGAATTTAGGATAAACAGTATAAAAGGCGAGTTGAGCTTTTAGTCTAAAGGGCAAATTTGGACATGTTCTTAGAAACTATACTATTTATCTGAAATTCATGTAACTTTAGCCTCAGGGGGCTTCAGAGGATGCCCTAATCTGACCCTGACTTTGTAGCTCTTAGAAAATGTAACAGAACCTCAGCACAAAGGTAGAGGGTCACCTCTGAATTTTAGGATGCAAGAATAGACCTTGGCTGCAGTGTTCATTCATGTCTCCACAAACCCGGGAAATAAAGTTCTATGTGACTTTTTCACTCAAGTGGAATAGTAGACCTGTTTTTTTGTTTGTTTGTTTTTAATTGTGATTCCTAACTTTTTTATTCACATCAACACTCCCTGAACTGTGACTAAAACAGAAAAGAAAGGACACAGGTGAGGATCCCATCAAGGGGCAAGGACCTGGTGTTAGCCTGAGACTACAAGGTAGGTCTGCTTTCCTCTGCTGGACGGTTGGTTTTAACAAATGACCCCTGGGAGGCTGGGGATGTGGGTCAAGCGGTAGCGGGCTCGCCTGGCATGCGTGGGGCGCTGGGTTTGATCCTCAGCACCACATAAAAATAAAATAAAGATGTTGTGTCCACCGAAAACTAGAAAATAAATATTAAAAAGGTTCTCTCTCTCTCTCTCTCTCTTAAAAAAAAATGACCATTGGAATCACCCTGGAAACACAGTTGCCAACGCAGTCATCTCTGCCGGCTGTCCTGTGGCTCTGTGTGATGCTGTGTGTGAGGGAAGGGCTTTGCTGATGTCAAGGGCTAGGAAACCCTACGCCTGATGGTGCAGACCAGAGGTCCTGCTGTGGCTGTCCCTCTCCTCATGTCCCTCTCTTTCCCTTCACGTATCCTTCCTGTGCTAATGCTCACTGGTCTCCATTCTGTGCCAACCCTTGGAGACAGATGCTGAGCTCTTGAGCCCCTGGGACTGCAGAGCAGAAGAATGGATCTCAGACAAAAGTGTGGAAGCCAGGCCTGAGGACAGGGAGTGTGGTGGGGGCATCATGCACAGCAGGGCAGAGAGAGGCCTCTGAGTGGATAAGGTGAGAGCCACACCAGGCAGAGGAGCCACGTGTACAAGGGCCCTGTGGGAGAAGGTGGCACACTGGAGGGGTGGCAAGGAGTCCAGTGTGGCTGGAGAGAGCAACCAGGGTGAGTGTGAGACTGAGAGAAGCACCGCGAGTGACCAAGCGGAGGGAGTGACTGGACACAAAGGCATGGGCATGGGGTCCCTGCAGCACTCCTAGTGAGAGTTGGAGCAGACGCAGAGCACAGGCTGGACTTCAGCACCATTGAATGCCCACACTTCAAGGTGGCCAGCAGGCAGGGAAGAAAGGCCGGGCCCCGGAGCAAGCCAGATGTGTGTGTGTGAGCCACAGTCTGGCTTTGCAGACACCAGCCCCTGCTCTGCTTTGTCTTCTTGGACATCAGGGAGGGCCTTTGCTGGGGCACAGGGAGATACTGGTTGTACAGAGGAGGGTTTTGGTGTTTGATGGCTGTCCCAGTGTGAGCAAACAGGACAAAAGACCAAGTAGACAGATGTGGGACCCACAGACATTCCTGGGGGTTCTGGAAGCTGCCTGGGGGGCCATCATTGAAGAGCTGTGTCATAAGCCAGCCAGGTCACCAACAGACCAGATACGTCTCTGTCCCTCCACTGCGTCAGAACTTACTGAATGAGTTAATCCTCAGGTGACACCACTCTCATCAGTGGCAGTGCAGTGGATACGTGTGGGTCCCTGGTGTCAGGCTGGGCAGTCACAGGGTCATTCAGTCTTGATTTCTACATCTGTCAGGCTCAAGTCACACAACACACTCTACACAACTATATGTACAGGCTACCGAGAGGCTGAACCGTGCGGGGGCCTCAGGCTTCAGGAGGCAGATAGCAGGTACAGATAGGGTCACCACAGGTGGTCGGATGAGATTAGAAACCACCGAGGACCTGTGCAGGGCGCAGGGCCATGGGAGCACAGGAACCTATTCTAGGCCAAGGTCCAGAGAGTGCCAGTCTCATGTCAGCTTGGAGTGTCAGCCTGAGGTGTCAGCTTGGAGTGGGACTTGCATGGTCGTCACTGGCAGGAGAAACTGCTTTGCTGAAGCCCCTGACAGAGAACTGAAGGTTCATTGCTGTAGTGACATTCCTGGGTGAGGTAGTGATGAGTGACCAGGTGACAGGGTCAGCATGCTGCTGTGTCCAGGCTCAGGTGCCCCTCCTTCTGTGGGTCTCGAGTGAGGGGCTGCATCCTGAGGTGGTTCCACTAGCTCCTGGGCCTGATTTTTCCAATATGAGTTTGATACACCCACACATTCATGTGCTTCTGACTAATCTGTAAGTCACAGGTGGTCATTTTTATGAGCATGATCAATTTATTTATCAGCATGTGCCTTATGGTGGTGCCAGGCAGATGGTGGCTGTTGATTTGCACAAACAAGGTACAGAGTTCTTGCTCTGATTAGAGCAGCTCAGGGCAAACTGGGGCTTTATGAAATGGGGTGACTCAGGGTTAGGCTGAAATCAGCTGTTCTGTCCACCATGGAGTCACAAAGGGAAGGGCACAGCCTGAGAGCTGCTGTTCTACACACCATGGAGTCACCCCGGGCAGATGCACCCTGAGAGCTGCTGTTCCGCACACCATGGAGTCACTCAGGGTTAGGCACACTCTGAGAATGCTGTTCTACACTTTGTGGAGTCACTTTGAGCAGGCACAGGCAGCCCCAGCACTGTCTTCTGGGACCTGGTTTGGTTTGGACAGGGACTGGACAGGCCTGTCTGGAGCAGGAAGCTAGAGCTACAGAAGGTGAGTGAGCTTGCTCAGCCCCTGCCCACCACAACCAGACATCACCTCCTGTGGGCAGGAGGCACAGTTGGGAGGGACATCCCTGCACTCCCAAGGTGGGTACCCTCACCCTTGTGAATTGCTCTGGTAGCTTCTGTGTGTGTGAGAGAGCCACTGTGGCCATGCCAGGCCCCAGATGCTCACGAAGCTCATGTGACGGGTTAGAACACATGTGCCAGAGGCACCATAGCAGGTGGGCAGTCTATGCAGGAGGGAATCAGGAAGCAGGATGCCAAGAAAGACAGGTCTCAGGAAGTTGAACGTGGGATTTAAGTGAGGAACACTCATTTCATATGAAAGATGATGACTTCTCCTGAAGCTGGTGTCAAGATTTATTGGCCCAAGTGTGGGTCAGAGCCAGGGCAGGCACAGCCCTAGACCTTTGAGGGTGGGACCCTGCCCTGCCCAGGTCAACACATCTGAACACCAGGGCACTCGGCTCTGTGCACATAACGTTAGGGAGATGAGGTGTCTCTAGTACCTTCCAAGGAGGTACTTTTTCTCCTCCCACCAGAGTCATTTTATAACCCTGGTCCCCCTCCGGCTCCATCAGTCATTGGGAGGTGTGGTCTCATTAGTTCCCTGTGACCAGCCTCCCTTCAAGGGTACCATGCCAAGGCTGAGAAATGACTTTGGCAACACAACGCACCTGCTTAGCACCCAGCCAAAGTCCTGGCAAAACCAGGCTCTGGTTGTGGGAGCAGCCCCAACATCATGTGGAGCCACAGCACTAACCCCAAGCAGTGAGACAGGGACCATCGAATTTGAGGCCAATCTGCAGGGTTTCGATGTGTAAGATTTATTGCAATGCCAAACGTGCATGTGTAAAATATGTAATTCCTCACACGGCCTCATAAATCCAAAGGGTCAGCAATAAATACAGGAAAATAAAAAATTACAGACTAATTTGTTCAGAAAACTAGGAGGGAATTCATGAGAGAGCTGTTCTGAAGTCACACGCACAGGGCAGGAACATGTGTCCTCGCGGCAGAACCAAACCTCCTCTGCTTTGGGGTGGGCTGCGGTGTACCTTGTGCACAACCAAGCAACTGTCCTGGCTGGTGCTTCCCAGTGAGTGTACCTCTACAGGGAGCTGGTGCCCTGGAGAAGGCGTCTGCTAAGCATCAACCCCCACCCCACCCTGTCGGGGCCTGGCTGTCCTTGGAGGGGCTCCTTAGAAAGGTGTTCTAAGGGTTTCTCCCCAGAGATGGATAGGGGGCCCAGGCAGCTCCTGTCCTGTGGCGGGGTACCTGGGGGCCTTGCCAGGCCGACTATGGAGAGGTCTCTCACTCAAGTCCCATGTGCATGGAGGTCTCCCAGGGCCACAAGCACAGTTGAAGGAAGGAGCACCTGTCTGACAGCTGGAGAAGTCTGAGCCCCAGGAGGGAGAGGCTGAGACCTGGAGGCATTGGCAAGGGACTGGAATGTCCCCAAGGCCCACACCCCTTGTCCTAATTCACAAAGTAAACTGGTTGCACAATCTTGGGAATAAACTAGAAACCAACAATCTGTACAGTTTGTGAGTTGAATGGTGTGTGAATTATGTTTTAATAAAAAGTGTCAAACATTTAATACACCAATATAAAAAGAAGAGGAAAAAATCATTTTCTGAAAAAAAATCTCTTCATATTTTAGAATATTCAGTGAGTATTTGAAAATAAAACTGATACCTAAAAACACAAAATGGCACATATTACTGGGAAATCACATGACATTTCTAAGTGTTTTTTCTGTGCAGTTTTTCCAAAGTTTTGTATGATGCCTCTCTCTCCTGCCTTTTCCTTGTCACATAATGGTGCCATTGGTACAAATTACTCACTAACATTTTTTTTTTTGTTACTGGGGATTGAACTCATGGGCACTCAGCCACTGAACCACATCCCCAGCCCTATTTTGTATTTTATTTAGAGACAGGGTCTCACTGAGTTGCTTAGGGCCTCGTTAAGTTGCTGAGGCTGGCTTTGAACTCGTGATCCTCCTGCCTCAGCCTCTGAGCCACTGGGCTTTCAGGTATGTGCCACAGCGCCTGGCCACTAACATGGTTTTTAATGACTTAAATAAGAAATGAGTCGGCAAAGGATGGATTATAGATGGATGACAGAGATGATAGAGGAATGAATGATCAATGCGAGCTGGAAGACGCACACATGGGTACATACCTGTGCACACCTGCACACACACACACTCACACACAGCTTTGGGATGTGAGGAGTAACTTCAGAGAGCCAATTCCTGTATGCAAGCTTCAGCTCAAGATACCTGACAATGTTGGAAGTCAGAAAACAGACTTGAAAGCGGCTTCCTCTGTAAAAGAACTGACTGCTGGGGTCACGAGCCACTTCCCGGAATGCACCGAGGGGAAGACTCAGAAATAGCAAACATGCAGAAATGGCACACTCGTCAGTATACATCCATCCTGCAGAGCACAGTTCATTCCAAAGCTTCCAAGGGAGACTGTAGCACAAGCTCAAGCGGTTCTCACGCTGGAATCTTATAAAACATCACTGCTCCTCCTGAGCCCTGGGAGCAGGGTGGACAGGGAAGTCTTCACTCTTGCTCGAGTCTGGGAACCTGCGCTGTGGCACTGCTAGGGGTGATGGCTGGGATGCAGGGCACCAGCCTCCTCCTCCCTGGGGGACAGCACCAGAGCCCATCAGACACCATGGAGGTGGCTGCTCTGGGTGGAGGTCACTGCTGGGGAGGCCTGTCCTCGCCGTTACCCATGCTCCAGGCCATTTTCCAGGGGGTCTGTGCTAAGCCTGCCCCCGGCGTATCCCTGTCCTGCCTACAGAGGCCCAGCAAGGCTCTGAGACTCACTTCAAAACCCATAGCTAGTGTCCTCATGCTCCTTTTCACCTAGGAAACCTGGTGTGCCTGGATCAACACTGCCCTGCACTCCCCCAGACCTTGTCCTGAGGAAGGCGGGGGCTCATGTGAAGAGGGGACACAGTGCTTCCTGGCAGAAGCCACCTGGGTCATTCTGTCCTGGAAGGTCCACCCAGGAATTGAAGGAGGTGGCATGGGCTGACCTCGACCAAGCACGTGGGTGTGTGTGCGCACACACACCCACAAAGTCTCTCGCTAGGACCCAGTCACTGTGTTTCTGAGGAAAGATGTGGCCCAGGAGCCCTTTTGAAATCTGGACAAGTCTGCAGTACCAGAGAGGTCTCCTACCCCCAGAGGACAAGCCCCAGGCTTTGCTGGTGGAGGGGAAGTAACTTTTGGCCTTCGAGTGGTCACCCACTATGGTTTGCTCAGCTCAGGCACGTGGGAGGCATACATGCCCATCAGCCGGCTGACAAGTTATATACTGGAAACAGTAAACCCAGAAGACCCCTGCTGTCAGAAGTCCAGTGGGCAAGAGTCGGGAGGCTCACCCCCCAGCTCTTCTTCCATCCACGGCTGCTCTCTCCTCCCCTCTTGGCCTCTGCTGACTCCCACTCTGTCCTGTTGTTAGGGGCTGTTTTTTGCTGGAGCACCCAACCTCCTCGCCTGCCCTTGCTGCCGGGACAATCTTTGGCAAGCATGTCTCTTCATCACTTGGGTCTGGCCCTTCCAGCCCTTGACAAGGCTGTGGACGCCCTGTCCAAAGAAATGCAGCTGGATCCAGTCTGAAGTGATGTGGAGCCCCTGCCCAGTCTGCAGCTGTTTCAGATGACCATCCTGCACCGCCAGCAGCAGGGTGGCGTGCCTCATTTCCAGCCTACCCTGGACATCCAGGCCTCCTGAAGGCCCCTGTGCACATGTGCGCCCCCCCCCCCCACACACACACACATACACAGTTACACAATGGCATCACAAACATTGTGTGCCTCCCCTAGGGACTGCCCTGGGGGATGAGCCCTGACAGCACAGCCAGCGAGTCGCACAGGATGCTCCTGGTGAGCTGGGTGGACACCAGGTCCACAGCCTGGGCTCCCTCGCTTTTCTCCAAGCCTGGGAGATCAGCACAGGGCCCTGAGTCAAGGACCAGGGTGGAGTGTCCCCCAGGGAGCTGCTCTGTGCCCATTGAGTCCTCGGCCCCAGGGTGGTCCTCTGCCTGGCAGCTCAGGCCTCCCTTCCCCTCTTCGCCGACACTGGCCAGCAAGGGCACTGGGCCTGGGGGAGAGGCTGCTGGGACTGCAGACCAGGGTGTTGGGGGTGTGGCTGTCCTTCTGGATAGGGGCCCATCCAGGCCTCCCAAGAGGGTCCCTGACCCTGGCTCATGCTCCGCACACTCAGTGCCCCACACCCCTCCCCAGGGCCTGCCCATGTGGCCCGGGGACTCCTCAGGCGCCACACCAGTCCAGAACCCCAAGCCCAGAGCAGGAGCCTGGCGCCCACACTGAGTGCCCAGCAGCACCTCCGAGTCACTAGCCACCAGCGGCCTCAGCAGAACCTGTTGGGCCACACAGGCTACTTGGGATGGACTCAGGGTCAGTGCCAATGGCCTTGGGAGCCCCTTAGGGGCACTGCCTGTCCCTTCACTCAAGGGGGACCCTGGGCAGCTGGCTGCTTCTAACCCCTGACTGCCCACGGCTTGGCTTCCCACAGCAGAACTTGATTCACCCAATTTGCCTTCGAGGCTTCCGCCCTTCCCAGGCACCCCCAGGCACAGCCCCAACTCCTGTGGCCCTGGGGACAGTGCTGCTGGCAGAGCCTCCTCAGAAAGATCCTCAGTGGCGATGGAGGTGTCCTCCCCCAGAGGGTCCTCTGAGCCCCCAGAAAACATGGCCTCCTCAGGTGGGGAGGGGAAGTCTTCTGAGCACGGGTAGGCCTCCTCCCTGGCCCTCTGTGCTTCAGGGGTGGGAGGTGGTGGGGGCAAGTGGGCATCCCTGTGGGTGGGGGACAGGAGGTCTCTACTGCCACAGGACAGCTCCTTGTCAACTGGAGACAGGATCCCAGCCAAGAAGCCAATGGCACATGGGGAACCGGCCTCCTCCAGGGCAGCAGGGCCTCCACCCCCCCGACACCCAGGCACCTGGCTCCTGGCAGCTGGAGAGTCCAGTCCACTGGGGACCTCAGGAGTCTGCAGGGCCAAAGGGACCTCGGGCTCCGGCGAGGTCTGTGGAAGTTTCCTCTGTGTGGACAGACTCACAGCAGTACCCCAGAGCTCCTCCTGGCAGTCAGCGGGGGCCTGGGGAGGGATCAGCCCTCCTCTGCTGAAACACATCCCTCCAGAGGTGGAGGTCCCCAGAGGAAAGGACAGTGGTGGGTCTAAGTCACTGGTGGAAGGGGTCTGGAATAGGAGCCCCTGGCTGGTCTCCTCAGGGGAGGCCTGCTTGGTTTTCCCCATACTCGATCCACGGGTGAGGCTTTTGCTGGCTCCAGAAGATTCCTGTCCCTCTCTAGGGCCCAGGAGAGGAAGAGGCACTTGAGGCTGCCCACTTTTCTTGAGGTCGGATGAGCCACCTACAGGCCAGGAGCTCCCTGAGGCTGGCCCTGCACCAACACCAGCTTCCCACGGGTTCTCCCTGCTGTCCTCGTCCCAGATTTGGTTGGAGGCTTCTGACAGCTCTGACCCTGACCTTGGATAGAGGGCGTCTGGGAGGGACAGTGGCCAGCTTTCCTGCAGGAGGCTCTGCCTGGACTCTAGGCCTCCTGCCATGGTCACCTCCATGGAGGAGACACCCAGGGACCCAGCCCCGTGGCCCCCCCGTCTCTGCCAGGACCTGCATCCTGCACCCTCAGGAATGCCACCCGGCTGAGGGTCCCCCTGGTGGAGCCCCCAGGACAAAGGTGGGGTGAGCTCCTCCCAGGAGTCATGAACAGAGAGATGCCCAGACGGGCCGAGGTCAGCGTCTGGGGTGACCTCAGCTTCCAAGCCAGACAGGGAAAGGCAGCTGCCAGAGAGCTGGACCAGGGTGGCTGAAACTTTTTGAAATTCCTGGAGAGAGGAGCAGGACGGGTCACTCGCAGAGCCTCTGGAGGAGGTGGGGCAGGATGCGGGAGCCCCTGAAGACCCTGAGCAGGTCCTGGAGGCACACTCCAAGTCCAGGTCCAAGGGGGCTCCCAGCTGGGGTGCGAGGCTGCTTGAGCGAGGGGCTGCAGGAGCTGCTGGGACAGGACAGGTCTCAGATGACATGACAGTGGTCACAACCTGCCCTGGGGCAGTGCCACCCTATACCAGCAAGGGCAGTCCCTCCCTGTGGCCCCCACAGCCAGTAGTTCAAAGTCAGGACACCCCAACAAAGGCAGGAAAAGGTCAGTAGTGCCAGAGCGATGGACCCTCGACCAACCAGCCGGTAGCTACCCCCATCCGCCCACCAGCAATGGGTCACTCCTGAGTCTCAGCCGTCGACAGACAGCGGGACTGGCTCTGCTTGCTTTTCACTGGTGATGCCCTGGGGAGGGGCCTGGGCAGGGTCCCGGTAGCTGGGCATAGGGAAGATAGGACTGTGTGCTGTGGGGAGAAGCCCAGCTCTGATTGAGGAACTGCTCTTGGATGACCCTTAAGTGGGGACTTGATAGTCCTGGAGCTGACATTGAGAGTCCCTGGAGGGGATGGGGGCATCACCTGGGAAGGCAGCCAGTCGGGGAGTCTCCAGCCAGGCAAAGGGGACCCCCAGGTCCTGCCAACAGGCCTCTACCCTGTAAGCACATTGGTGGAGAAGTCCTGGAGCACCCCTCAGAGGGAGTCCTGTCCTCCTAGTTCCCAGGCTCATGGTCAGGGACCTGCAGGAGGTCAGTCAACTCTACCATACTCTCAGGAACATCCCTCCAGCCATCTACCACCTCTATGTTTAACATCGGCACACAGGGCTCCTGGGGGTGAGGCCTGTCTTTGGGAGCCATCTGGCCCCAGCCCCACTGAATCAGGTAGGAGATGTGGCACTCCTCCCTGAGAACACACCATCCCATGGTAGCCCCTCTGCTGCCCCCCAGCTGCACCTGGGGTCCATTCATTGGGCACCATCTTTTTTTCAAAAAGGAAGGTAAACTGAAGGATGTCTCATGGCTGGGCATGAGGTGTCAGCAACCAGAGGGCAATATGCTGGCCAGCCCTGTCACCCGGGCTCAGAGCCCCACCCTGCTGGTCCCGCACCTCTGCTCCCCTGGCTGCCAGTTCTCCACATCCTGGGGCTCCTCCACAAGGCTCCCAGCCACAGTGAGCCCCAATTCTGCCCCCTCTTGACTTGTGCTGCTCTCAGCCACCTGCAAGAAACACATCAGAGAAATGACAGGTCTGGGTGTGGCCTCGGCTGGAGCACTGGCCACAACCCTGGGCTGTGGATGGAGCCTTCACGCCTCCAGAGACCACGTGGAGCAAAGGCCATTCCCCCAATGAGGGCTGTTGAGAGCCCCGCTCACCAGACACCCTCCTCCCACCACGGAAAAGACTTTGTCCGACCAGGGATTGAGTCTCGGAGCAAGGCCCACAGAATCAATGAATCTCAGGACCCTGACCCTTCCAGAAGGGCTTCAGAGGTCCCATCCCATAGACCTCATGTGATGGCAAGGCCACCCCATAGGGCCAGGCCCCTATGGCTTGCAGGACCACACCCAACTCACTCTGGCTTCCTGGGGACTGCAGGAGCCCTCTCTGCCCTGGGACTGCTGACTCTGTTCCACCAAGTCCCACCTGGGGCTGTCTGTTGGAGCTGGGGGACTCTCTTCTGCTAAGGCGATCCTTGGCTTGGTCTGAGAGTCTCCTGGAGGACAAAGGAACTGTCATCCCCAACAGGCACAGACAGGGAGACAGAGGGAGTGACTTCTAAGAATTCTGAAGCCACATGAAAAAAAAATCTGAATATTTGAAATGGACACAAGACTTCCTTGTGGTGTCTGGTTAACATGAGGACATAAAAACACGTGGTGATCTGCTAAAAATACCCTCTTGCAGAGTTAGTGACAGAGGTCCCAGAAAGAAGCTTATAGAAAATGTGTTTTAAATTTAGAGAGCTCACTCCCCGCTTCGGGGGACTCTCCTGCAGGCCCCTGGGAAACCCCATTCCTTTCCCTGTTTCCTCCCCACCCATGCTGAGCTGAGCTGAGGAGCACCCACCCACTCCCAGCTGGACACTGGTGGGGGACACAAAAGGCCAGGCAGGAGTGGGCCTTGGACATGGCAGGTCATCCGTAGCAGAGCTGGAAGGCCAGGCAGGTGGGGACAGAGCAGTCACGGCAGAGCCTCTCTGGGTTGAGCACCATCTCCCTAGACCTGAGTTCTACCTGGGCCTCAGCAGGGTGCTGGGACCCTGATGCCCTTAAGGGAGCCAGAGCTGTGTGCCTGAAGCTCTTGTCCATGGGGACCATGCAGGGAGGACCCTGGCTTCCCAACGACCATGACAGGTGTCAGCCAGGGAGACCTGCAGACTGTCTTCTGGCCAGCGAGCAGCAGAGGCCGTGTCAGGCAGCCCCAAGGCGAGTCCCAGGCCACCCACCAACAAGCTCCAGATCACAGGCCAGTCACTCCAGTCCCTGAGCCTCAGTCTTCTTCTCTGCAGGGTGGGTACGACAAGCATGCTCACCTCAAGAGGCAACACGGTCCCTGAGGGGAGTGTGGACACCTGGCTGACATGTGTGGGGGCAGAGGGCAGTGATGCCCCTGGACGGAGGCTTTAGGCCAAACACGTTGAAGCAAGTTACACGTTGAAGGATGGTAGCCGGCCTGGGCCTGACGCTGGCAGAGCAGGACAGGCCATGGAATGCCCTGAATGCCTACCATGCCTCCAGCTTTGCCAGAGGCACACTTCTCGGAGGCAACCTGGTGTCCAGCTGGTCTAACCTCTTCCCATCCCACTTGATCCGTCCTGAGGTTTTGTCTCCTGAACCCTGGATGCAGGGAGCCTCCCTCAGTCCAGAAGACTTGCCAGGGAAAATAGTGTCCTTCCTGATCCTGAGGGTGGACGTTGAGAGAGCTTCTGGGAAAGGCTGTACCCCAGCAGTGGGCATCTCCGCGGTTCCACCCCAGGCACCAAGGTCAGCTGGGCCACTGAACACTCCACCAGGGCACCCTGCCAGAGCCGAGAGCAGGTCTCCTCCTGCCCTGGGCCAGAAAGCTAAGAATGTGACAAGTGCAAAACCCTCATGTCAGGCAACAGAGATGCTTCTGGTGAGGCTGATTTCCAAACCCTTAAAGATGGTTCCAGATAAGCCAGGTTGTGACAAGACACTCAGAGCCAGTCATGACTTTTAATGCCCCAGGGAGCCACAACATCTCCCTTGGGACACAGAGCAGCAGGCTTCCAGCTGTGAAAGGATCTGAGAGCAGGCCCTTCCTCTCTGGCTTTCCTTGAGGGCCTCTCTGGCTTCCCTGGCTGCTGGGCCAGCCTTGGACGGGATCTGCTGGATGCAGGGAAGCTGCTGGCAGGATCCACACTGGGGCAGCCCACAGACTCTATCTAGGGGGCTTACCTGCAGGTGGCTCTTTTGCTTCCTGTGGCCTGGGCTGAGCTCTGGGGGTGCTCCCCTCCACCTCTGCGGCCTGCATCTAAAGGACAGGACAGAGATGCCAGGGATGCAGGCCACCGGGAGAGCAGCTGCCGAAGACTGGGAGAGCCAAGAGGCCCACTGGCACCACAGGGGCAAGGGCACGTGGGCATCCAGCATCCCAACCAAAATCATGCTGCAGGCTGGCAGGATGGGGGCCCCAAGCAGGCAGGGCTGGGGAAATGGGGAAGAGGCTTCCTGGGATTTCATACAGGAAAGTCTGGGCCTGGCAGCCGTCCGATGCTCAGAATGTTCAGCACGGGGACACGAGGCTGCTCCCCAGGCTCTGAAGACACAGTCCTGAGAGTCACAGACCTTGGATGGCCTGCAGGGAGCCCCAGACCTGGAGATGAGCAGAGCCAGCTGCTGGGGAAAGCTTGACACAGCTGCCTGTCTGCTTGTCCCTCTGTGGAGCCCAGAGCTCTGTGCACTAGCCGCCACCTCCAGGGACGTCAGGGCTGCTCCTAAAGGTTTTCCCTTGCACCTTCGTCTCCCCCAATCACAAAACTGACTCCCCTCTCCTCTTCCCAAACCTCTTCCCATCCCTCTGCCCATAGATTCCAATGTCCCAGAGGCACCGGCTTCACCAGCACCCCTCCAGACTGTGTGCCAGGGCACCCTGGGGTTCCAAGACATTGCCCAGAGGCCACGCTGGGCCTGAGGATTCCCGTGAGCTGGGCCCCATGCCCCTCTGCAATTCACCACCCACACGCCCATGTCCATTTGCTTTCTAGGGTTTGTATAAACCTGTGTCACTGCTTTGAGACCAGCACTCTAGCTAGAGGAATGTGAGAAACTGGAGAGCCAGAGCCAGCAAGGAGGGTGGGGGCCCCACGCTTGCCATTTGGAGCAAGGGGAGACACCATCCCTTTCAAAGGCCTTGCCTAAGGCAGAAAGGGCCCTCGGAGGCCACCTGCAGAAGGCAGGATTGTGTCTCGAAAGATGTGTCCGAGTCTTAACCTACAGAACTTAGGAATGGGAAGTTATTTGAAAATAAGGTCTTTGCAGATACAATTAGGGATCCCTAGATGAGATCGTGCAGGAGTTAGGGTGGCCCTAAATCCAATGACTGATACTCTTAAAAGAGAGAAAAGAGAGGAGACAGACACTGAGGAGCAAAAAACGACATGGGAGAAAAGAGACACAGAAAAAAGGCCATGGGAAGTCGGAGGCAGAGGCTGGAGTGACTCGGCTGCAAACCCAGGGACAGCTGGAGCCAGCAGGAGCTGGAAGAGGCAGGAAGGACCCTCCCCGGGAACTTCTGGAAGCAGCGCAGACTTCGGATCTCTGGCCTCCAGAAAACAGCCCTATTGTTCAAGCCACCCAGCTGTGGAACTCTGTCATGGCAGCTCATTGTCCAGAGCGGGAGGCTGAGGCCCAGGAGGGGAAGGATGTGTAAGTACAGATGGGGCACAGGCTAGGTGGCCATGCCAGCTGCCCTCAGAACTGGTGCATTGGGACAGAGGAACTTCTTCTGGAGGAACCAACAGCAAACAGGCCAACCCATGCCCTGCCATGTTCCTGCCTGGAGGCTCAGTTCTGAGCAGGAAAGATGGCTCCTGCCAGGCTTGGCCCTCTCTCTACCCTCGCCTGAAGCTGGACATTGCTGCTGCCCCTGGCTGGTCACTGTACCTGGCCCTGCCTGGCAAGTCTCAGGCCTGCATGGGGGGCAAGCCTAGGAGCTCTAAGCAGCTGCTCCTGTCAGAAGCCTTCTGTAAGCAGGAGAGCCTGTTTGGGCATCCCTCTGCTGGCACCCAACGCCCTGTCTTGAAGTGTAGCATGGGGTGGCCTCCTGCAGGCAAGCCCACAATGCACTCTGCTAGCCACACACCCAGCCTGGTGGGCAGAATGTAGGTCTGTCTGACCCCAAGCTAATGCAGCTCCCAAGATGTGGAGCCCAGTGAGCCCGTGACCCTTTGTCCTCAGCTGGCCACTGCTGCTGCCATGCCCAGCTACCTTGGTCCATTTGGCTGCCACTCTGCACCAGTGGGTGGCTGGCTTCAGGCGTGACCTCTCCCCATGCAGACCTTGGAGGCTGCAGGTGACCATTAGCATGGGAAGGTGTCTCAGGGGGTGCCTCCTCCAGCTGCACAGAGGGAGGCCTGAAAGACAACAGAGGGCAGAGGTGACTGCCCACCCACACCACAGCAAGTCCCTGTCCCAGGAACAACCTCCTGCCACATCTAGGGGCAGCTATGGCCAGCGGCTACCCCCTTCCGGCAGGGGCTGGTCCCTCCCTACCCAGAAGCTTTCCAAGCAGAGCCTCTTGCCCACATATGGGGCTTCTGCAGTGGGGTATGGTGCTGGGATGTGGCTGGGAAAATGTCTGTCTTCCTCCCCAGCAGAAGGTCCATCAAGATTACTGCATGGAAACCAACCACCTGTCTCTGGGTCAGCACCGGTGGGTGCACAGTGGGCTCTGTCTGGATCCTGGGAGGCACAGAGTACATCCATGCCTGCTGCCAGGCACTGGGCACCCATCCTACCTGCCTAAGCCACACTGACAGGGCACCAAGAGCCTGACCTGGCACAGCCTCAGGCAGCAGGAGGGGAGGGATGCCAGGTCTCCAGAATCCTTCTGGTTAAGAACAAGGAGGCAAGCCTGCTCTGGAACATTCTGCTGCTCTCTCAGTGCCCCTGGCAATACATCTGCTGCCCTTGTCCCCACAGGAACCTACACAGCTCACAGCCCCCACCCAAGGTGGCCCTGAGAGTCTCCCTCCCAGATTCACACTTGGGCAGGAGGAGGGCAGGACCAGATGGGTTTGTGGAGGGTGGTGATCAGCCAGAGATGCTTGATGCTGGCTGCCCAGGGAGGTGGGGCCTCTAGGGTCCCTGTCCACCTGTCCTCAGGGCAGGCATGGAAGCTGACCTGGATGGAATGGAAACAGGCCCTTCCAGAGGCACCTCCCCCAAAACCCTTCCAGCAGCCAGCCGGGCTCTCAGGACAGGACCTGTAATCCCTCATCCCCTTGTCCTTGCCTCTCTCTCGCTCCTCAGGGACTCAGGGTCACAGACACTTGCTCACGGATGCACCCAACCCCCAACACTCACAGTCAGACACAGGAACCCGGCGTGCCTGTCTCCCGGCACCACCACCTGCTCTGGGCTGGGCTTTTCCTGAGCCTCCTTTCCCTCTGTCTGACTCTCAAACAGCGACTAGCTTCGCTGCTGGGATGAGGGAAGCCCGAAGGACGGGCTCAGCCTGGCCTCAGGGTCCAGAGCCATGTGGATGCTGGCAGCCCTCCTCCAGCCCTCCAGACCCCGGGGGCCAAGCGGTGGAGTCCGCCTGGTCGCATTTGCAGATTCCCAGGACTTGTGACTGATAGCACTGGGATTACCCGGCGGTTCCTGCTGCAAACTGTCCTAGAAGGAAGCCCCTGGAGCGGACGACTGGGTGAGCAATGGCTTCCTAAGCTGGGGGAGGTCCCCAGGCTGGAGATAGCTACTGGGTGGTGGCCAAGTGCATCCCTGAGAAGGCTGCCCCTGGGAGTAGCCCCTCCTGGAGTGGGGGTCTCCCTCCGTGTCTACCCCACTCACAAGGTTGCTGCTTGGAAGGTGGGTTTTGCCACTAGAGTCCAGGGTCCCTGGCCCTGGGGGCGGAAGTGCAGGGGAGAGGGCCTCCCTGAGTCCAGGGAAACTTTAACCTGGGAAGGAGGCAGAGCATTTCTAGCATGGAGAAGCCAGGAAGCTCGTGCTGGGAAAAGCACTGCCCATGGCCAGCCCTAGGTCAGGAAGCACTGGTCATCAGACCCCACCAAGACTCAGCACGGGCAGAAGTCCTTGTCTCCCACTGCAAACCAAGTGGCTGTGTGGCCATGCTCAGAGAGGGCCTGGCCACCACTGGCCACAGAGCACAGCAGCCCTAGGAGGGTGTCCAGAGGCACAGGCTGCCACACGGTGCTACCTACTGCCCCAGTAGGCCATCCACCTTCTCTGTCCCCCCCACACCCCACGGCAGCCCTGGAAGGCCCCACTGCCAGCCAGAGCCAGGAAAGCACGGCTGCTGCTGCTCCTCCCCTGGAGCCAGGGCAGCTCTGGACAGCCAGCAGGAGCAGGCTCCCTGGTGCCCTCGATGCCCCTCACCCACCCTGGGGGGCTGAGTGAGGTAGGCCCAGTGGCAGCAAGCAAACACTCACGGGCCTTTAATGGCAAGTGTCAGAGCCAGGGCCTCCTGGGACCAACTCACTGTGAGACTTTCGAGCATTCAGGGTTTCTCTGGGGACATTGGCTGGTGGGACTGTGAGGCCTGGGTGCTGTCAGCGGGCAGAGGTCTCCCTCCAGTGGTTGCCTAGGCTCAGAACCCTTCTCTACGGTGGCCTTGACTTCAGGGCTGGAATTCTAGGAAAGAGCAGAGTGAGCCTCATGTGGCCACCCATGTCCTCCTGGGAGAGCAGGAGGTAGGCACATGTAGCAGCAGCCACAGCAGGACAGCACACAGCACCGTGGAGCCCACTGACAGGTGCAGAAAGGAGCCTCAGAGTGGGTGCCCTTGCCCAAGGCTGGCCAGAGGCACCTCCAGTGAACCCTGGAATCAGGCTGCCCATGGTCCTGCAGGCCGGCCTGGGGCAGATGCTTCAGAAAGCCTAATTCATTCAGTCCTGGTCCCCACCCTTAAGACCTTAGTCACCCCAATGTGGAGAGGAGATGCTCAGGTGGGGACAGCACTTAGCTCAACCAGGGGCAGCCCCTTCCCCTTGCCACAGCCTATTCCAATCTGTCAGCTAGTGGGGAGGGGAAGCTGGAGTCCTCCACCCCAGGACACAGTGGCTGCTAGGTCCCCAGGGGCTGGCCTCCCTGAGGAGCCCCAGGCCATATTCTCCTTCCTTGGACCATAGAGGTCCCCTACTCTGCCTACTCTAGTTCTCTGCCCCTGCTGAGGAAAGCCCTGGGCACCTCCACCTCAGCCCGTCCTCCTCTCCTTCCTGATGGCTCCCTGCCTCTGCCGGGGGCCTTTCTCCGTGCCCTTGGCCTGGAGTACCAGCCACGACCACTGGAAGTCTCTCTCCTCAGGCAGGGACAGCCAGGGCACCTCTGCCAGGAAACCTTCTGGGGGCGGGGCATGCCTAGCAGGTCCCTCCTACCCTCACCCCTGGAGTCCCTTTCTACCTGAAGTGACAAGCATTTTTACAAGGGACTTGCACACTCACACAAAACAGCCAGGGGACAAGCATCCTGCACCCAGATGAGAGCACCCACCTGTGGCAGCTGGGTCTGTGACCGCAGCTCCTGACGAGGGCAGGTGGCAGAGCTCTGCGCTGTGAGGACTGCCTTCTGATGCTGTGCGAGCTGCTTCCTGTCTTGGTGCATGGACAGGTGAAAGTCCCTCAAGTGCTGGATTTCCCTCTGCACCAGCCAAAGAGGACAGGTCAGGCAGGCATCCCAGCCCACAGCAGCTCCCACATGGAGGGAGGGGGCAGGAATGGCCGGGGCACCTGGGGCACCCTGTCCTCACACTGCCAGCCTTGCATCCCCCTCACACGCCCCTTGCCAACCCTTCCTGATCAGCTTCTTGGCTGCAAGTTTGGCCAAGGTGGCACCAGCGGGAGGCAGGAGGGAAGCAGAGGGCTCAGCCTCCCTCTTCCTGGATTCTGGGCGCTGCCCCACCTCTGCCCCTTTATTAAACCTTCCCAAGCTCCAGGAAAGAGACACTACTGTTCAGGTGGGAAACTGAGGCCTTGAGATGCAGGGCCACTTGCCCAAGGCCACACCAGCAGGAGGCTGTGGCTGGCCTGGAGTCAGCATAGGGGCCTGCTCCGTTTCGGCCTTGTTGCCCCTCAAGCTATGGACTCTCTGGGGCACCACGGAAGGTGCCCCAGCTGTGGTGTTGGGTGGTCCCGTCCCCAGCCCCGAGGGGCAGGACACCTCCGTGTTACCCCGTCCGGGCCATACCTGCTCTTTCTCACGCCTGCTGAAGGCTCGCTGCGGCCTCTCCAACAGGGTTTTCTGCACTGCCTGGGGCCGCTTTCTCAAAGCCAGACACCTGGGAGAAGAGTGCCCCAATCTGGAGGATCTGTGCAAGTGGACATCCAAAGCCACAGACGGGGCCAGCCCAGGGTGGCCAAGTGCACCCGTATGCCCTTTTGCAGACCAGATGCTGGGACAAGTAGTTGTGCACAGCAGGTGTGAGGGTCTGGGGTAGTCCAGGCTGTTACTTTTCCCACCCCTCACTACCTCTTTGGGGTCTAAGATACAGAGGCTGGCCAATGGCAGCACCTCCCACCTGGGAACCCAGCACAGGCTGGTACTTCTCGGCAAAGGGAGGCAGGCCTCCACTGGGGGCAATGTCAAGAGGCTTCTGAATACATGCTTGCTGAGGAGGCCGTGCCGCTTCTTTTTTGAGGAAGGGCACAGGGCATTGAACTCAGGTACGGCCACTGAACAACATCCCCAGCCCCTTCCCCCCCCTTTTTTTGGTATTTTATCTAGACAGGGTCTCACTGAGTTGCTTAGAGCCTCGCTTTTGCTGAGGCTGGCTTTGAACTCACGATCCTCCTGCCTCCGCCTCCCTTATCCTCCTGAGCTGCTGGGATTACAGGCGTGAGCCACCACTTTTGGCACAAGGCTGTGCCACTTCTAAGAACGCTCCTTAAGAACATCATCTCTCGGGTGTTCCTTAGTAGGGAGAAGTGGACTAGCTGGAAGGCCCGGCAACTGCACCGGCCAAGGGAGAGACAGCTCTGGAAGCAGTCCCCCTGCGTGTTGAAGAATCACCTGGTGATTTGACATCTCAGATGAAAACTCCGCTCACAGTCTGTACGTGCAGCTTAAGTCCAGTGTTTCTGTGGCCACGCGTTTCCCTCAGCAACACCAGACAAGGGTCACTTGAAAACAGGCACAGGCCGTCTCCCAGGCGGGCTGCGAGGGGTATTCCCGTCTCTCTTGTTTGGGGTGCTTCACTGCCTTACCTAACACCTGCGCAGTGTTCCCCTACTGCCAGCTGGACCAGGCGGGGCCACGATGAGGGCGGGGCCCCCGGGAAGGCGGGGTCAACCCGAGGGCGGGACCTGCTGGGCGGGGTTTCGGGGCTGGGCCAGCCAAGCAGGCGCTCACCCTAACTCTTGCTTCATGCAAGCCAGTTGGGCGCGCTCCTTCTCCTCGAGGGCCATCTCGCGCAGGCGCTGCGACTCGGCCTGGTGCTGTGGGCACAGCTTCTCCTCCTGCAGGCTCTGCTCTAGCATCCCGACGGTGAAGAGGCTGAATGGTCTGGAAGCTGTGGCATGGGCGCTTCCGGGCCTCGAAACGTTCGGCTGGGCGAGGCAGATCGACGCAGCCACGTCACCGTCAAGCATCTAGGCCAGTCCTGGGACCGGTCTCCAGGAACGGTGCCTATCCCTGGGGAGGAGGCCACCGCCTCCGGGAAGCCCTCCGGGACTGGCTGCCGTGCTCATCCCGTTGCCATGCCCCTCTACCCTGAGAGGTGCCCCTCCCCACTGTGAGCTCTCTGAGGGCAGGTGGGGTCATCATCGTGGCCACGTGCCTGTCCCTGATCCAGGCGGTGCAGGTGCATTTGTTTGTGCTCTAGAGGGTTCCAGAAAGCACAGCCACCTGCCCTGAAATGTGCAAGCTGGGTGGGGAAGCACGCTGTTGCAAGGCCTGTCCCCACCTGTCATCCAGGGTGGAGGGCCCCGGCCGGGGAGGCTGTCAGCTGGAAGGGTGGGTGATGTGATGGCAGGGTGAACCCACCAGCAGGGCCCAGTGTAGACCCCAGTGCACTGATGTTCCCTGCCCGTGCCCCTCACACCCACTCTCCCTGTACCTGGTGGGTAGGGCTGTCCAGAGGGCAAAGCCTGGTCAAAGGCAGCTGGGAGGGGGCTGGGTCCGGCTTCCCCACCTCTGAGAGAGAGCAGGCAGTGGCTGGGTCAGTGCCCTGTCCAGGGCCTTCCTACAGGAGGGCCTCCCAAAGGTAGACTGGGCAGTTGGGTGGCCCACCCACCCCAACTTGCAACTTCACCAGCATCTCATAGGGCCACAGAAGGAAGCCGTGGCCAGCTTTTCCTGATGTGAAGTTCTGGGGTTTGATCCCCCAATTGAGGGAAACATCAGACCAAAAGTTGAAGAGGAGAGAGATGACAGCCCAGGCGCCTTGCTTTCACAGAAGGGGACACTGAGGCCAGAGGGGGATGGCTCCCAGGTCCAGCCCCAGCAGAGGTTCCTGGCTTAAGGAGCTGCCTGGCTGCTGACCTGTGCTGGCCATCCTTCTGTGCTGGGGATGGCAGAGAAAGGACCCTCCCTCTACTTTGAAAAGATCATTAGGGATTCTTGCTTCCCATCAGGAGACATGGGATTAGGTTTTGGATTTACCGTTCCATCTGAAACAACCAAAAAAGTCTACACGTTATGCTTGTTCACACACACGTGTGAGAGGACCGTGTTCCATGCGCTGAGTATCCGACAGCGGAGCACAGTGATCACTGGTAGAAAACAGGTGGCAAGGCCTCCATTGTCACATCGTAAGCCCTGGGAGTTTCCAAGCTGCAGGGAGGGAACCCAGCTGGCGGGACACCTGAGCAGAGGGGTGGAGCTGACCCTGGAGAGACCAGCGGCTGCCGTTGGTGGGATAGACTGCGAGGGGAAAACCTCGGGGGTCAAGAAGCAGCCAGGCTGAGGCGCAGCTAGTGGTGGAGCGCTTGCCTAGCCTGTGCAAGGCCTGAATTTGGTCCCCAGCACCAAAAATGAAATAAAAATAAAAGCAGCAGCAACCACAGGCCAAGGCATTCAGGAGGACCAGGAGACTGAGACCAGTCAGGCAAGGCGCTGGTGACACCTGGGCTCACTGGGCAGACAGAACTTTTTGGCCTTGGTTGTAGGAATAACCAGCTCCAGGCTGAGCACGGATCCGGGATTGCCTCATTAATTATGAACGCAAGGCCTGAGAGGCTCAGAGTAGTTCAGACAACTGCATTCCAGAGCAAAGCTTCTGAAAATGCGAGGAACACAGAACACCTAGACCCCACAAGGAAGCATGCGTGGTGTCCAGCAGTAAGCCATGCAGCAGGGGCACAGCCAAACCTGGCCCGGGCTTGCCAGTGTTGGACTGGCAGAGAGTAGACATAGTGCATATGTCTAAAAAGTTAAGTGGAGGGCTGGGGCTGGGGCTCGTGTGAGGTACGGGGTTTGATTCTCAGCACCGCACATGAATAAATAAAGGTCTATCAACAACTAAAAAAAAAAAGTTAAGTGGAATCAAGGAGGTCATGAAAAAAGAAAAGTTTCAAAGGAAGCTTTTACTTTTTTAAAATGTTTTTTTGTAGTTGTAGATGGACACAGTACCTCTGTTTTTTAAATTGTTTATTTATATGTGGTGCTGAGGATGGAACCCAGGGCCCCAGATGTGCGAGGCAAGCGCTCCACCACTGAGCCCCAGCCCCAGTCCTTCAAGGAGGCTTTTAGAGACAGAAACGATAGCTGTGGTCAGAGCCCTCGGTGGGGTCCAGGCAGATGGACACCAAGGACGCAGGCCTTAGGGAGAGGAGTGGAGGGATCAGGAGAAGCATTTGAAAAGCAGGACTGCAGGTTTTCGCCTGGGTCCAAGAGTCTCAACACACGCCTGGCACAAGAAACATGAGGAGAACCACACAAAGCACATCGCCACCCAAGTGCTCAAGACCTCAACAGACGCAGTGGCAGAGGAGAAGCAGAAGTAGTCACCTTCAGCCCAGCAAAGGCGCCAAGGACAATAGGCCGCGTCCTGCCCCCAGTGCTCCACCAGTGAGCTGCACCTCCAGCCCAGGCAAGGTCTTCAAAGTCCTGAGAAAAAGATGTGCACCCGACTCCACGGACAGCAGACCATCCGACAAATCCCGAGCCACAACAAAAGTGTCACACGTTGTCCCTGTCGACCTCACTGCCAGAGATGGTCTCCTTTCAGGCAGAAGGAAAGTAACAGCGGGTAGACATCCAGACCCACGCCAAGGAATGGGGACACCGGAGACCAACAGGACAACTGCGATTCAGAACCCACAACAGGGTCATCAACTGGAAATGAGATAACAGCAATGCGCTGTGGCGTTGGCGACGTATGTGGATGAAATGTTCGCCACTCCCAGCCTGAAGTGCAGCGAGAGCCCTGGCTGTGGCGAGGTGGAGGACCGTCGTCACCCGCAGGCAGAGCAGGTGTCCCATGGTTCCCCAAACCAGCACTCAAGCAGCAGGGAGCTACAGCTCGCAAGCCAACAGGAGAGACGAAATGGAATGATTTTGAAAACACTGTTTAATGCAAAAGGAGGCAGAAACAGCAGAGAAGAAAGTGAAGGACAGACAGCCCGCGCAGCACAGGCAGCAGGATGGGAACCAGAGCTGAGGAGCTGGGCGGTCACTTCCTCGGTGGGAGAGGAAGCAGGGCCGCGTTCACAGGAGGCAGGGTGTGAGTCCGCTGCCCGCAGGGAGCACTCGCAAAGCCGGGCAGCAGATTCGAGGTGAGGGATGGGAAGGAGGACCCAGGCCTAGCTAAAGCCCAGGGCCCCTCATGTCGCTGCAGGCTTCGGGGCAGAGGCCTTGGGGATGAGGAGGGGTCTCCTGTGGGGAGGGGACACCAGCAACCCTGAGTGTTTACATGCTAAACCACTAGAACTGCCAGGAGAACCGGACAGACCCCATCACGTCTCTGCTGCGTTTTCTCACCTGACAGAGCACCCTCAGGCGCAGTCAGAGCTCTTAGCTCTCCCCAGCCTTTGCCAGGCCACCTGGGCACCTGCGCAGGTCATGCGGGACACTCACCTGCAGAAGCTTCCTGGCCTGCCCCACTGGCTTGTCCTTCCTCAGGCACCTGGGGGCCCAGGGCGGCATCTCCACCCGGGGTCGAGGGTGCTCTGTCAGGTGAGAAAACGCAGCAGAGATGAGAGTCATCAGCCCCAGACCTGCAGTGGGTGCCCTGGCCCGTCCCACAGGTTGGGAGGGCACTGTCCGAGCCTCAGCCTCACCTGGTTGAGGGCGAGGCTGGGCCACATAATGTCTGTGGCTCTGAGTCCCCAGAGATCTGCAGCTGCTCCAGCTTTGAAGCCGTCCCTGGCCTGGGCTGGGCTGAGTCTTTCTCCATCAGCCCCTGTGAGGACAGGGAGGGGGTGCAGCGCCCAGGTCAGGCCCCAGAGCCACAACCTCGCATGTCCATGGCCTCACGGCCTGCTTGTCCATCCTCCAGTGGAGGTCCAGCCTTCTCCTGTCCCCATAGGGGTGGAGGAGTGGCGTGCTCAGCAGATGCAGAGCAAGACCAGGGCTGGGGGGGGGGCAGCCACAGCCAAAGGGGTGGGTCTGGGGCGTGGCACCAGGCTCTGTGGACCAGGAGGGAACCGGCCCTGAACCCCGTGACTGTGATGCCAGAGTGCAGAGGAGGGAGGAGGAGAAGGGGCAGAGGGGACAGGGCCAGGTGCCTGTGCAAACTTACACCCACGTGCACACACCTCTGGTTCTGCTACTCTTCCTGGAACCCCCCCCAAAAAGTACTGAGCGTGCCTCCCACTAACAGTCCCTGGACACTGACAGCCAAGAATGAGCCGCTTCCTGGAAGGCTGTCACATCCAGCCAGGTCATGGCCATGGGCTGGGTCAGCGTCCCACTGGCCCGAGTACCAGCTTCCCTTTCACAGGGCAGGTGCTGAGCTGCCTGGGCTACAAGTGCTGCCTGTCTGGTGGGGTGACGTGAGTCTGGGGTGGATGGCTGCCAGAGTCCCTGCCTTCTCCTGAGAGTCCTGCTTGGGGTTTGCACACGGCACACACCTCAGGTCATGAACTCTGGGCTCCAGCAGGGAGCCCTTGGCCTGGGTGCCTAGCAATCCCGGAACGTGGACAGGTGGGTGGCTGGATGGCCATCTGTGACCCAGCTGTGGTCCCACCACGGTCCCCTCAGTGTAGGCGCCCAGGATCCAAGTGGCCAGGTGTGTGGTTCTCAGCTGAGCCCCCCCCCCGCCTCTGCAGCACCGTGGGCAAAGGCAGGGCCCCGGTTCCCAGTCAGTCTCTCTCTCTACTCAGCCCGTGGCCCTGCACCAAGAGCGGCATCTGGTTTAGAAGGGCCTTGGGCTGGGATTGCAGGGGCAGCACAGGGGACCAGGGAGGGGTGGCTGCTGACCTTGAGCTGGTGTTTGAAGAGCAGCTCGTCCAGGGCCATCTGCGTCTCCCAGACTTCATGTTCTGCCTGCTGCTGCAGAAGGGCCAGTCCCTGCGCCTGCTTCTGCTGGTTCAGCTGCATGAGAGCCCAGGCCTTAGGGTTCCTGGGCCGGCCACGCCCCGCTGAGGACTGGACTCATCCTCAGAGGATCACCCCTGCGGCTCCCAAGCCTGGGCAGGGCCTGTGCCTCCAGACAACCCGACTGCCCTCCCCATCCTGGCCTGGGAAGGCCAGGCACCCTGGTCAGCCTGTCTCCCCCCACCGCCAAGCCCCATTCCCTGGCACTGGGCGCATGGCAGGTAACAGAGGACCTCCCTGTTTCTAAGTCCTACAATTCTGCTCAGCTCAGGGAAAAAGGCTGGTTCTAGCTTATCCCCAAACAGGAGAGGCCTAAGGGGACACATTGTCATTCGGCTGACATCATGGGGGTGGGACATACCTTCAGTGACTCAAGAAAGCTTGAGGACTTCTGCTCCAAGTCAGCCAGGTGCCCGCTATGTGGGTCTCCAGCATGCAGGCCCCCAGGCTCCTGCTGACCTGTGGACCATGGAGGAGGGGGCAGCTGAGCACCAGGGAACGCTCTTGGCCTCTTTCTCCTCTGGGCAGCCTCAGTGCTCCACGGCAGCCTCTCAACCTGTAGGGAAACTGAGGTACAGAGGCCAGGAGGGCAGGTGCCCAACTCCAGGGGCTGGTTGGCATCGACCCCATGAAGAAGAGCTCCTTCTTCCTTCCTCACAGCCCCACAGGAGGACACAGACAACTGCGGCACCGTCTGTCCCCAGGCTGGCTCTGCCTAACCCCGACCATAATTCCCTCCAATGACAAACAAAAACCCCTCAACAAACAAACAAAACCCCACAAATGCCCAACAGGCCATTTGCAGAGACCATAGGAGCTACCAGACAGACCTGGGTCAAGCACTTGCTGGGGAATCTCAAATCACTGCCAGGAACCTTGTGGGGCCACGGAGCTCTCTACTTCCCTGGCACGAGGCCCCAAGATGGTACAACAAATGCCCAACAGTGTCCATATGGAGAAGAATGAGAATAGACCCTTGTCTCTAACTCTGTGCAAAAGTCAACTCAAAATGGATCAAAGACCTGGGAATCAGACCAGAAACCATGCAACTCCTGGAAGAAAATGTAGCAACATTCCAGCATTTAGGCACAGGCAACGGCTTCTCCATAGGACCCCTCAGCTCAGGAAATGATGCCAGAGTTAATAGACGGGATGGCATCAAATTAAAAATCTTCTGCACAGCCAAGGAAACAGGAACGTGAAGAGTGAACCCACAGAATGGGAGAAAATCTTTGTTAGCTGCTCTTCTGACAGAGGACTAATATTCATATTATATAAAGAGCTCAAAAAACTTTACACCAAAACCCCCAAATAACCCAATTAATAAATGGGCAAACGAATCAAACAGACATTCTCAAAAAAAGAAATACCAATGACCAATAATTGCTGATGATGTTGAACATTTTTTCAACATCATTAGCCATTAGGGAAGTGCAAATCAGAGCTACAGAGATTCCATCTCACTCTAATCAGAATGACCGTCATCAAGAATACAAGCAAGGGGCTGGGGATGTGGCTCAAGCGGTAGCGCGCTCGCCTGGCATGCGTGCGGCCCGGGTTCGATCCTCAGCACCACGTACAAACAAAGATGTTGTGTCAGCCGAGAACTAAAAAATAAATATTAAAAAATTCTCTCTCTCTCTCTCTCTCTCTCTCTCTCCCCCACTCTCTCTTTGAAAAAAAAAAAAAAAAAAAAAAAAAAAAGAATACAAGCAAGAATCAATGCAAGAGGAGGAGGAGGAAAAGAAATTCTTTTACCCTGTTGGTGGGGATTGTAAATTAGTTCAATCACTATGGAAATCATTGTGGAGGGTCCTCAGAAGACTAGCCCAGACCCACCATGTGGAGGAAGTGGAAGATGGGGCGGATCTCATGAAAAGCCAAGGAAATCAGTGGAGGGGAGGGACCACGGGGTGGGACGCAGGGAGGGAGGGGGAAGTGCTGGGGGGTGATACTGACCACATTGTACTGTTCTGTTGTGTGCTGTGTGCAGGTGCAAATCTGTAACAACAGATCCCAACCACCAATGAAAAGTGTGGGAAAAACCCTCCACAAACAAACAAGACCCCACCAATGCCCAACAGGCCAATGAAGACAACCAGGAGGGTGTACGAACACAGGGGCAAGTCCTAGGTTCTTCTTGGGATTTCCCAGATTGTCCCAGAGTGTGGGCCTCCCCCTTGGTTATGAAGTCCCCAGAGGCAGCAGAGGCGCTTTTCTCTTTCTGGTGGTCCCCAGGGACCAGCCCTACTGTGTGCCATTGGTGCTCCTGCCTCACAGAGGCACAGCCAGGAGGAGTCCCACTTGGGCTTCCCACAGTCTGCCCCTGCCTTGCCATGGGCCTGGGTCCTGGTGAGAGCTGGCAGAGGCCATGGGACAGCCAGCCCAGTCCTGGGCTCAGACCCTCTGGTCTGGATGATGGAACCCGCCTGCTGGCTGCCGATGAGCTCGTCATTGCTGGTGGGATCCCTGCCACCTGCCCAGAGAACACGGTCTTCCTGCAGACTGCAGCTCGGCTTCTTAGACCTCGAGCAGTTGAAGTGCCGCAAACAGTTATGCCAGTTCCTGAGCATCGCCGTAGCCGCAGAAAGGGACCATGTGGGAAGTGGGATGCTCCCCAGTGGCCCCCTAACTGGCCACAATACGCAGTGAAGACACTTGCAAACTTCTGGTTTAGGTGTCGGTGTCTACTTTGAGCTACAATTCCTTTGCAAAAGAAGATTTCATGTCCTTTGTCTGGGGTCCCCAAGGGAAGCTGGAGCTAGAGAAGGTGTCCAACCTCCAGCCACCCTCCTGCAGGGACCTGGAGCTTCAGAGGCCCCAGTCCCCCGGGGTCTCCCAGCCACATGGGAGGGGCAGCTCCTGTCACCTCTGGCCATGTCCATACCCCTAATAAATCACTGGGGAGACTTGGCTGCATGCCTCTGAGATCTGAACCATGATCCAGGAGAAAGTGAGCTGTCCCTGAGCAGGACAGCCCCCTCAGTAAGCAGAGGATGACCTCGGCCTCCACCTCCATCTCCTGCTGTTGGACAGGGGGCAAGGAGTTGGGAGAACACACCCCACCCACTGCCCAGTGCCTGGTCACCCGAGGATCAGTGGGGTGGCTTCGTGAGGGCTCCACACTGGCACTTCTGCTGCTGCTGCTCAGCATGACCATGACGATTGGGCATGAGCTCAGTCCTGGGGCCTGGATCCAGGGGTCACAGCCCCCCAAAGAGCTGGCAAGATGCCCTGCCCTCAGGCAGAGACCCACAGCATCTCGGAGCTGAGCCAGAGGCAGCCAAACTGCTGTTCACATTTAAGCTTAAAGGAAACAGGATGTCAAATTCCACTCTCCAGTCACACTCCAAGATCCCAGGGGCTTGACTGTCACGTGAGGCTGGTGGCTGACAGGTTCTCCCTCCTTGCAGGAGGTTCTATTGTGCAGCGAGGTCGAGGTTGGAGTCTACAAAGTTCCACTAGACAGCTCTGGTCTGGGGGAGTCTAGAAAGTTCCCTCGGGCAGTCTTGGTTCCAATGGTAAGAGCTAGAGCTGAGGGACTCCAAGTGACCCACAGGGCTGCCGACACCTTCTTCCCAGGCATGGTGAATGAGGTGGAGGCGTGAGTCAGAGGGCCACTTGCTCATGGGCCTAATCCTGATCTTACCCCTTGGAAGATCCTGGCCAGGAAGTGGCCACCTACTGTGGTCAGGAATTTCCCCTGACCCTCACACAAAGGCCAACCTCTATTCAGCCACTTAGAGAGGACAATACATAAATCCAGCAAAGGCTGGACAGAGCGCTGGTCCTGACCTACCCCTGGGTTCCTGGGCAGCTCACTGCCACTTCAGGCCACACTCTGGTTTGAATGTCCCCTCCAACACTCATGTTGACATCTAATTGCTGTGACAGCAGCATTAGGAGCTGATCAGTCCTCAGGACTCCACCCTCATGAACGGATTAACGAGGAGAGTGTCCACCGTGGAAGGTGGGTTCAGCCCCTTCCTCCTCTCGGCCGCTCTCCTCCGCCACGGGACAGCTCAGCAAGGAAGCCCTCACAGGCTGGCACTTTGCTCTTAACCTCCGGCCTCCAGAACACGAGGCTCTAAGTTCTGTTTCCTCATAAATCACCCCACCTTGGACTTTCTGTTAGAGAAGCCAAATAGACCAGACAGGTGGGAGGTGGGCTGGGTCCTCCTGGCTGTGGACCCGTGTCCACGGCTCCCTGCCCCTGGGTCTCAAAGCCCAGAATCCCAGGCACCGTGTGTTCTGACTGGCTCATCTTCTTATGCCTGTGTCCCCAAAATGCAAGCATCATGAGGGCAGGGCTCGGGTGCCAGTAGGTGCCAGACACCAGGATGCTCGGGGACAGTATGGAGGAGCAGTAACCCTGGAGACCACAAGGAGCTTTGGAAACTTGGAGCCCAGGAGCATCAGCAACGTTGGCCTGAGGACCAGGTGCCCCCGCCCCAGGCTGAGAGGTCCCCCAGAGCCGAGGGCCTGCACAAGCACACACAGCCAACACACTCTCCACAGCCCTCCGCCAGTCCACAGAAGAACGGGCCTGCACGTCCTCTAGGCCCACAGAGGACACACTTCCCACCTCACTGGGAAGCCTCAGTGGGATGGGTCTGGCCCGTGGGGGTGGCTCTGAGCCTGGGTCTGAGACCCCCTCCACCCAGTTACTAGCCCTGCAGGGGACGCCTGGGGCTCTGCTGTGCCCGGGGCTTTCTCAGGCCACTGGGCCTCACAGGCCTCACTGCCCAACCAAAAGGTGGGCGAGGTGTGGCCGCCACTGCTCTGGTTGAGGGCCGATTGTGCCCGCCTGCCCGCCTCTCACAGCAGACATGACCATGCTTCACCACCATGTCCAAACCCTGTTCTTTTGAGGCAAGTCAGGGGCCAACCAGCCATGAAAGCCTGCTCGGAGTCAGCACGCGGCCCCACCTGCCCAGGCGGGCCAGAGGGCTCCCAGCACACAGCCCCGGCTGCTGCTGGGACCAAGTCAGGGTGTGGGGCAGGCACCCCAACCCCCTCCTAGGCACCAGCTTTTCATTCCTGAGTGCTGGGTGCCTCAGGAAGCTGCCCGCAGGGACCCAGGAGCATGGCCAGGAAGCCAGCTCTTGGGCTGTCATCCCCGACACTGGTCACAGCAGGCGTGACAGGAGCACAGAGCAGGCAGCGGCCCGGAAGCCTCCAAAACACTTTAATGCTGAAGGGTGGGTGCTGTCCTCATGGAAGAGGGTCTCCCACCCCACAGGATGTGGAGGGGGTCCCTGGTGGCCACCCCTGGCCACCCGGCCAGCTATCCCAGGACCCGTCTGCAGGCTCGCCCTTACCGCAGCTCCGGGTGCTCCAGGGCATTACCAAGCCTGGCCCTCTGGCCACCGGCACGTCCTCCAGACAAAGGGAGCTGCAGGTGGGGTCCCGTGCCGGCACCCTGCGCGAGCTGGGAGGCAGACAAGCGTGGGCGTGAGCGAGGTCCGGCTGCTGGGGGCAGCACAGGGGACTGGGGCCTGGCAGGCAACCCCTCACTTGGCTGAATGTGGGCTCCCAAGGCCCTCAGCAGCCCTTGGAACCACAGTGTGTCCAGGGCGGGATGGAGGGCAGAGCCTTGGAAGGCCCGGGCCTGTGACCTGCAGCGCAATGGTGGCACCACATGTGCCTGGCCCCCAGCATGGGCAAGGCACGGGGTCTGCAGCACCCAGCAGGAGCGCAGGTGACCACCTCCAGGCACCGTGGCAGAGGCCCCCTTTGCCAGAGTGGCCATCCAGTCACCTCTTCCAGTTAACAAGGGCACTTCCATGAGGCCCAGGGCAGACGGGGGCCACCCATCAACGCTGACCCCTCATGCTAGGCCCAGCCATTCTCATGGCTGGGATGGGTTCATCTAGGAGTGCTCTGGCAAGACCCAGGAGGCAGGCCCGCTGGCCTCAGAGCGGCCCTCCCTCAGGCAGCCAGCAAGCTGTGCCAAGGTTAGGAGCCAGGCGAGCCCCTGGGCCTTCCCGGGGTCAGCGGCCACGCAGGGAGGGACGCCCTCGAGCGCTGGCCGCGGCTGTTGGGATTAGAGTGTGTGGGGCACAGTGAGTGTGTACGTGGCACGTGCAGAGCGTGGCTTGAGAGAGCGTGGTTGAGCACAGCCCACCTGGCCCGGTGCTCCTCAGGCACCATCTGTCCCTGGCACAGTGACAGAGTTCGCCCACACCTGTGGCCATGGAGACCGGCGTGTGGCATGTCCTTCTCTAGGGGTCAGCAGGTGTATATCTCACATGGACTGTGGGCCAGTCCCGTGCAGGAATAAGGTGGTGACCCCATGCCAGCCCCTGCCCCAGTTCGAGGCCTCTGAGGCAGGGGGCTGTGTGTTGAGGCCACAGGGCTACAAGGCACCCTGGGCGCATGCTGCCAATGGTCTCAGCCCTTGCTGGCCATTGAGCACTGGGGTCCCCGTGAGGCCAAGGAGACAGTGCCAGCCTGACTCCGGGCAGCAGACCAGCACCTGGACGCAGTGAACCTGGGGCTCCAAGGGGAAGGGCAAGCCAGGGAGGGGAGCGCGGCCCGGTGTTGTGGAGGTGGCAGGCCTGTGGTCCCATACACACCCTGCACATCCTGGGCAGTGCTCTTTGGAAGGGACAGGAGTGCCCAGCTGGCCACTGAGCTGTCCCTAATCCCCGCTCTCCCAGGGCGCCTTCTGGGGCACAGATCCTAGATATGGTTCCTGCCTCTTCCTGTTTCTCCTCAGATGACTGGGCAGGGGGCAGGGGTCACAGTGCCCAGTGCCCGCCCTGGGCAGGGGTCTGGGCCACTCCTCTACCCTCTGGCCCCTTTGTGGCTGTGCTAGGAACAGCCAACCCTTCTGGGCCTGGGTCTGAGTGCCTGAGGACAGACCTAGCTTGTCCATCTTGGAGCCTGGGGCACTGAAATTAACTTCTCCAAAAATTCTATGCTCGGGTTCCAGCCCACCCCCTTCTCAACAGCTTGGGGAGCTGGAGGGGCCGGTATCAGAGGAGAAGCCACCCCTTTGCTGCCCCCTGCTGGCCTCAAGATTCCGTGAGAATACAAGCCCAAATCACCCGCCATCACCAGCCCATCACCCCGCGGGGCTGGGACGAGGAGGCACAGGTGAATTTCCGGGGAGGGGGGTGGGCAGAGCAGGCCTCAGGGGGAAGGGTCCCTCCCAATAGGAAAGGGCAGGGGAGGGTACCTCAGCACCCTCACTTTCCAGAGCACTGGGGGTAGGGAGCAGACTGCTCAAGGTCAAGGGACAGAGCTGGGACCTTAACCTGCCCCTTGTCCATGGGCAGCTCACCAGGAGGGGGCGTCAGGTTCTTCCCAGCAGCACCCTTTCGGTGACTGTGGCCCCACCCATCACCCCGTGGCGGCTGCTCCACATCCTCAGCCCTCCTGGTGTGCAGGGGCAGCCCCCCAGGCCCACTGACTTAGCTGCCAAGGTCGCTGGTGTGACACAGCCCTGCTGTGGGGACTGGGCGGAGGCCGGGTGTTCCTGGTGGACTCTGGCTGAGGGGGCATGCAGGATGCCCAGGCCACCGCCGTCCTCCTCCAGAACTCCCGGCCTGCAGCCCCGTCTTTCTGGTAGTGGCTCTACCTTTGGAATCCAGGGTCCTGGGCTCCCTGGGGAGGGGCTGCTCAGGCCAGGCTGGGGTCCCCTGACCAGGGGCTTTGTTCGGTTTGAAGACAAACCAGGGGTGAAGGGAGATTTTTTGGAGTGGCAGAGGAGAGTTTTCAGAAGAAAGGGCCCTGCCTGGTCCATGGGCCCTGGGGTAGGTCTCGAGGCCATAGCCATGAGGAGAGCTGAGGTATGCACAGGCACAGCCATCTTGTACCCAACTATGTCATACCAGATGGCCCCTCAAGGCCCTCAAGGGACTGAAGCTTCTTCCTTGGCCCTGCTGCAGCCTGGGACTCAATGGGGCAGCAGGGACCCCTCCTAAGCTTAAGTGGGAGGGGGTCTGGGGGCACAGAGCAGGTACCATGTCCCCACAGATGGGACTTCAAATGCACCTTGTGACCTGGACCTAGAGAAGGCTACGGGCCACAGTTGGGGGTGGGTGGAAGAAGGGCAAAGGTCCAAGTGGTCCTAGAACTGAGACGTGGGGTGTGGGCCCTGGACCAGTGAAGGGAGGCCCTGCTCAGAGGCCCCGACAAGGCCAACTGCCAACAGCCAACAAAAGAGCCAAGGTGACGTGTCTCCCGAGGGTCAGAGCAGCACAAAGGGAGTTTGTGGGCTCTTGACTGCCCAGGGCAGGGCTTGGCTTAGGGACCCACTGCCAGCTGCCTGGCCAGAGCTGTCCAGAGAGCCACCCCATGGCGCGGACCAGCATCGGAGCCAGCATGACTTGGTCCACCTCCTGGGAGCTGTGCCCTCCCTGCCCAGCCTGGCTGCACCCAGCTACCTGGCCTTGGCCCCTCGACCAGCTCCAGGGGCACTTGCCAAGGGAGCTCTCGGGGCTTACCTCCCTAAGGGGGCACCAAGGGACCTGAAGGGATCCGAATCTCTCTGCAGCCTCTTCTCCAGCTCCCAGAGTCTCTGTTGCACACCTTTGAAAGAGGCACATGTCATGGCAGGGAATCAGCGGGACAAGGAGCTGGAGGTTAGCGGGGACAGGGACGCCCTGGCAGGGACGCGCGGGCACATTTCGCAGTGGGCCTCAATGAGCTGCAGTGCCCACCTAGCCTTCAGGCCCCTGGAGACAGGCAGGCCAGGGAGTGGAGGGCACACGGGCAGTGCAGCAGCCTCACCCCTTCTTCAACCTGTCTTCAGACAAGACGGGGAGGGCAACTACACCATGTGCCACTCCAGGAGGGCAGCTACTCTACCCTGCCCACCCTGGACAACGCCTAGCTCCGGCCTCCTCTCCCTGCTTCCAGAGGGGAAACCGACTGGTAATGGGGTCCTGTGCTCCCACTCATGGGACCTCCTGGCCACTCACTGGCCATTGGGCCCAAGGCCCCAGTCGTACCTTGGGTCTGGCTCTGGTGGCGGGCCCTTGGGCTGACGCTTTGTGTCCCCCAGCTCGGGCTCCACAGCTCTGGGTCATCATTAAGGAAGCAGGAGGAGGGGATGAGGGGCTTGGCCTGCAGGCCAGCCCAGTCCTGGGGTGTCCCTGTTTCTCTGTTGGGCATCAAGGCACTGGGGCAGGCCGTGGCAGTGAGTGTGAGGGCAGCAGGTGCTGAGCTGGGACCCACGGGTGGCCAGTCCAGGGCAGTGTCCGAGGCCTCTGCCCCACGCAGCTTGGTGGTCAGGATGTCGATGCGCTGCTTGAGCACGTTGGCCATGGTCTCCAAGGCCTGCAGCCGGGCCTGCTTGTACTGGAACTGCAGGGGGCCCGAGGAGCCCAGCCGGTCTGCCTCTTGTGGGTCCAGGGAGACGCAGAGCCCCCGGGAGAGGTCCTGGAGGTGCAGGGGGCCCAGGGAGGAAGCGGTGGACAGCAGCAGCGGGGTACCGGTTCCGGTCTCCAGGGTCTCAGTGTGGTCCCAGGCTCTGTTCAAACACAGACAGAAGCTGCAGGGAAGAGAAGAGCAGGCGCTCAGTCCCCGCAGGGCTGCGTCGCTTGGCATGTGCAGAATGGCCGTGTGCAGAACGGCAGGGAGGAGTGACCGGTGGCTCAGCAGAGCCCTGTCTGTCACAGAGGCCAGAGAGGCTCCGGCCTCCGCAGGCAGCTGGCCTGCGGCTGTTTAACAGAAAGAAGGGGGCCTGGCTGTGGCCTGGGAGGGGGCAGGGACATCCACAGGCCTCTGGCTTTAACACCATGTTGCCACCGTGTGGCAGAAAACCCGTGCTGGGTGAAAGCAGAGGAATCAAGGACTGTGAGCCGCCACTCCCATACCCGGGCGCGGTGGTGTCTGTGTCCACCAGCAGACGAGGCGGGACGGCAGAGCAGGACGGGGGCACGTTACTCAGCAGGAAACAGGAAATTGTGTCAGCAGCTGTGGTGGGGCTTGGGCCACCAAGCTGGGCTGCTGGACATCACAGAAGGTAATGAAGGCAGACCCCACTTAGGGGAGGCCCAGCATCCTGGAATCCAGACACAGAACCAAGGGTAGACAGGGACAGGCTGGCCTGGGGCGTCTGTCACGTGGGGCGGCGGCCACGGCAGGACTGTAGTGTGGACCTACTAGTGCCACAGGGGCCACACACTTGGACGAGGTGGGGAAGGGTGTCGCTGGTGCCTCGCGAGGGCACCGTGTGCCGTGGCGCCCTGGGCGACTAGCTGAGGATGCCGCTCTGCGCACTGAGGAAGGGCTGCGGGAGCCGCCCAAAGTGGAGATGGCCTGACTGAAACCTCCTGTGACACACCTGGGTGTCAGACGTCACACCGTGGCCCCTCCGTGGGCACGACCTCTGCTTTCCTGCTTCAGTTATAAATAAATCTAGCATAAAATAAAATCCAGATGGATTAAGGATCACAAAACATGGCTAAGGGCTGGGGCTGGGCTCCGTGGCAGAGCACTTGCCTAGCGTGCGAGAGGCCCTGGGCTCGATCCTCAGCATCATATAAATATTAACATATAAGTAAAGGCATTCTGTCCATCTACAACCACAAAAAAAATTAAAAACCTGGCTAAGATGGTGAATTTTGTTATGCTTGACACATTTTTTAAAAAGTGGAAATAGCAAAGGGCAAGGAGACAGTGAGTGAGGAGGACCCACAGCCCCCCACCAGTGGGACAGACCTCCACAGCACCATGTGGCACAGGAGCCTGACAGGCAGCCAGGGAGGGACTGCCCTAGGGTACAGGGTCTGGGTGGAATGGAGTCCTCTCTCCCTGGAACCAGTGTCCGTTTAAAGGTTTACATATGCAGACCCCTGGGCACCATGGGCCCTGAGTTCAGGGAGGTAGTCCAGAAAAGACCAGATACGGAGCCAGAGGAGCAGCCAGGGCACGAGGAAGGGTGTCCAGCCAAGGAAAGGGGGCTGGGGCCATCCTGGAGCCCCTCCCAACACCAGCTGCCAAAGTGTCCCCTGAAAACACAGGGCAGGGTGCTCCTGGCTGCAGCACCTCAAGGGGAAGCCCTGAGCCCAGCCTCCAGCCAGATCCAGCTGCCCACCTGGGCCCACCCACGGCAGGTGACCAGAATGAGGCTGGGCCAGGCAGAGCTCACTGCAGAGCCCAGGGGGCCTTTCCCAGGCAAGAGCCAGAAGCAAGCCCCCTCCCCGGCTCCCCAACAGGGTGGGGAGGGCCTGCAGAGGTCCCCACTGGCTCCCAAACAGCTCAGGGGTGGAGAGTGCCCCGGTTGGAGTAAAGCACAGGATGGTGAAGACAAAACAAGCGGAAAAAAGAAACGAGCCAGGCAGGGGCGCACTCCTGTGATCCCAGCAGCTCAGGAGGCCGAAGCAGGAGGATGGGGAGTTCAAAGCCTACCCCAGGAACGTCGCAAGGCCCTAAGCAATTTAGCAAGACCCTGTCTCAAAAACAAAAAATAAAAAGGGCCGGGGATGTGGCTCAGTGGTAGAGCGCCCTTGGGTTCAATGCCCAGTACCAAAAAAGAAAGGGGAGGGGGACCAGACAATGTGCACTGGCCTGTGTGGGAAAGGGGGCTTTCTGCACGCAGTTCCACCAGGTGGGCTGGGGCTGGGGCTCAGGGGTGGGGCGCCTGTCATACTTCCAAACTCATGACCCCTAATGTTGAATCCCCAAAGAGCAAAATTCCTAAGGTCTACAATCTCAACTCTGAAAGATTAAAAGGATCGTGAATGTTGAAATCCTGAAGGCTGGAATTCTGAACACGGCGATCCCCACGCCAGGCGGCTCCAGAGGATCAGCCTGCTTGCCATGGTCAGCAGGCAGAATAGGGACGAGGGGAGCCTGGATGCCCGGGGCAGGGTGCCTCCCGAGGCGAGCAAGAGCTCAGAGGGCTGGGACCCCCGTGTGGAAATGAGCATCTCCCAGGAGACAGAGGAAGAAGGCAGCCCCGTCGCCATGCAAGATTTGGAACATGGTCTGCGGACCACCTCCTCCAACTGCCAAGCCCCTCCCTGGAAAGCACTTTTTCACACATCAGATTTCCTATTTAGTTTAGCTTTTTTTTTTTTTTTTTTGCCTCTTTTCTTAGTTTTTTCCCCGCTATTTTAAATTGCCGGCATTATTTTTTGCAGTTTGCTATGAGATGCATTTCATCTGCATTCGTGTCGGGGTCCTGAACAGAAAGCCCTTGAGACTCCTGAATTCCGATTGGCTTTGTGTACCTCGTGCCACTGTGACTCCAGCAGAGAGCCTCACTCCACGCTGGCCTGTGCCTGAGCTTCTTGCATGCAGGTAAAGAGGTTCAAACAGCACCTTTGGCAACGTCCACTTGTGTGAGAGAAAATTTCCCGAGAGCTAGCTTGCCGGGGTCCCTCTGTGCAGTGGTGACCCATTGCAGCAAAACAGGTTGTCCATCACCATATTTCCGATGACCACAGGATTTTTGTCATTTTCTTGCTGTCCTGGGGATGGAACCCAGGGCCTCGTACATGCTAGGCAAGTGCTCCATCGCTGAGCCGCAACCCAGCACTTTTTACTTTGAGACAGGGCCTTGCTAAGTTGCACAGGCTAGCCTGGAACTTGGGGTCCTCCTGCCTCAGCTTCCTGAGTAGCTGGATCACAAGTGTGGCCACCACACCTGGCTCCCAGATGACTGAAGCTATAAAGCTGGGCATACACAATTACCAACCACAGGGCCATGTTTTGACATGTCTTTATGAATTCGGTTCATCTGCTCCTAACTGAAAAACCCATGTAACCGTCAGTAGCAGAGCTGAGTGCTCGTGCTTGCGTAATCACCTACATTGTGACTGACTGCTTTATCCGGTAAGTCGCCACCAAGTGTCCTGTCAGGCTTTTATGTTTCTCCAATAAATCCCCCTCTGAAAATATATGTCTTTGAAATAATTTTTAAATTATTTTTTACAGGATTATATTTTCAGGATTTACATCTTTCAGACTGGTGATTTTAGAGACTTTAAAGATTTTGCTGTTTTGGGATTTCAACATTTGGAACTATGGAGTTTAGCACTGTGTCTTTTGGGATCAGGGCTCAAGCCTGCAGGTGCTCACAGGAGGAACAAAGGCAGGTATGTGAGCTGGCCCAGCAGCCATGGCCACAGCGGTTAGCCACGGGAGCTGGAAGGCAGGGCAGCCCAGTGTCCACGGACAGGGAAGCCAATTGGTGTGGACGGAGCAATATGGTGTGAAGCCCTGCTTCACATCGAACGAGGTGGGTGTGAGGCCCTGACATGCAGTGAGAAGCCGGGGCCATTACCTTACGGAGCCGTTATTACGAAATGTTGCTAGGGGCAAATCCATGGCCAGAGTAAACTAAGAGCTGCTCTCCCGGGAGAGTGGGTGGAGTGACAGCCGGGGGTGGTCTCCTCTGGGGTGACTGTCCCAGAGCAGCTGTCCGTCAGAGGGCTCTGAGCTGTGCCCTTGAGCATGGACGATGTGGGTCCCACATGCTCCTCTGACCTCCGAGAAAACACTGGAGTGACCAGCTGCTCCCTGGACTGGAGCCCCGGCAGCCGAGCACAGGTCCCAGGAGCTTCACCATGATGGCAGCGTGGGGGCCCCTGGATTTGTCCTTTGCCCTGTCTGCCACCACAGCCATGCCCAGAAACAGCAGCCCCCACGTTGTACCCACCTGCCCGGAGCCTCTTGGGCCCCCAGCACCTTGCCAGATGTCACCTTGTTCCACTGAAGCACAGGAGATGCCAGGTTCCCAGGGGCTTCCAGGCCCTAAAGAAGAAGGGGCAGTTAGAGCCCCCCAGCAGAAGACCCCACAGCCCATGTCTCGGCCTCAGATCTGGGCCCCAACCTCCACCAGGCCTCAGGCTGGATTCTGAAGAGTCCTGCAGGGGGGTCTCACTTCAGGGGCTGGGATGGAGGCAGCACGGTCCTCCCAGAGCACACTTGGGCTGGAAGCCCACAGCCTTGCGGGAGCCCAGCAGCAGGGAATCGGGCTCCACCCCCAGCCCCCAGCCCCAGACAAAGGTGCCCAGGTCTGGGCCTCTCCTCTGTGGAGTCACCCAGGGCAAGGCTTGTGAATGCCCTGGTTTCCTAACGAGTCAGGGCGAAGCTGCTGCAGCCAGAGCTGCCACAGCCCCAGTGGACACATGTCAGTGGACACAGGTGGCCAGGGAAGCAGCTGAGGTCCTCAGGCTCAGAGGCTGAGCTGAGTGCCCCCTTGCCCCTCCTGCACATACCCCGGACCTCGCAGAACTGGGCACAAAGGTGACGATGCCAGGGTTGGTCTGGGAGACCACGGGGACGGCCTTGCCCAGCACCGCCTCCCTCTGCTTCCGGTAGACCTCCTGCAGCCTGTGGTTCCTCAGCTCCAGAGTGCGCATAGCCACGGCCTTCCGTTCCAGGGCCTGCTGCCGCCGGGCCTGGGCCTTCTGGCGCATGAAGTCCCGTAAGGACTCCGAGCTGTGCGGCTGGCACAGGGGCGCCCGGAGCCGTGGGCAGGACCCAGATGAGCTTGAATCTTGCTCCTTCCCCAAGAGGTTCTGAGGGTGGCCCTGGCTGGGCCTCGACCAGGCCTGCTTGGTTCCCAAAGAGTGGGGGACAGCGGCTCTGAGCTTACTGGGGGGGGCAGTCCTTTGCACAAAGGAGCTGCTCCAGGGCCGTTGGGGGACAGAGTGTGGCCTCTCCAGAGAGCTCCAGGGTCTGGAGACAGCGGGCTCCAAGTCTTCACAGGCCGCCCAGGCCCTCTGATGACAGGTCTGTCCACCAGAGGTGCTCCAGGGCCGCCGTGAGAAAGTGTCCAGCTTGTCGGGGTTTTTTCTTGACCTCTGGAAAGGGGGGTCTTGTCCTTGGGTCACCCAGGCCCTCTGTGGGTAGGACTCCCACTTGGCTAAGGTGTGCCAGGGCTGCTGGATGCAGGAACTGCTGGGCCTCTCTAAAGAGGAGCACTTCCCCTCTGTCATGGCCCAAGAGCCCTTGGAGAAGGAGCCCTGCACATCCCGGGAGCCGGGGGGGTCCCGCTGCTGCCTCCCCGCTGGACTCTGCGGCTCTGCTTTAGCGCGTCTGAGCTTGGGTCTGTCCCTGGGGTTGCGGGCCAATTCCAGCCCGGCCTGGATCTGCTGCCGGAGGTCTTTCAGGATAGCCATGGCGGTTTGGACCGTCTCCGGCTGATCGTGGGAAGTCAGGCTGGGTGTGATCTCGGAGAGCCGCTGGTCACTGCCGGCAGAGGCAGCCCTGGGGAGCCAGGCGTGGATGGGTGAGCCCCGGGGGGCTGTGGCTCTCTTGCTGTCTCCTGCAAAGACAGGTGGTCACGGGGTGCTGGGCCCTGCAGGTGGAAGGCAGGCAGAGCCAGCTCCTCCTGGCACGGGGTGGGGGGGGCAGCCGGTCTCAGCCAGCTCCCTCCCGACTGTGGCCTCGGCGCCCACACACAGAACCCTCAGAGCAGCAGCCACATGGGGCAGACCACCTGCTCTGGATGTGTGTGCTGGCTGCGCACATGGAGGAGTGACAGGAGTCCCCCAGAGGAGTGGCCGGCTCCTATTTGCATTCCTTCTGTTGGGGAAACTCTGGTGGTGTGCCTGCTCCAGAGCTGACCCAGGACATTCTTGGGGACAGAAATCCTTAGGTTTTTTTGGTCTGTTTGTTTGTTTTGAGTACTGAGGATTAAAAGCCGGGACACACTGTCACTGAGTTATACCCTCAGCTTTTTTATTTTTATCTTGAGACAAGGTCTCACAAAGTTGCTGAGGCTGGCCTCAAACTTGTGATCCTCCTGCCTCAACCTCCCAAGTTGCTGGGATTACATGTGTGTGCCGCCACTTCCAACCTTCTTAGGTTTTTAAAGATAATTATTTTCCTGTGTCCCCTCTCTGATGGTGATTTAGAGGGTGATTGACAGGTCTCTGGGAGAGACGCCCTAGCTGCCTTCTCCTTTGATGAGATGGACAACATGGACATGGCCATCTCCTCCTCCACACCCGCCCCCTGGGGCCACAGCAGACCGGCAGACCTGTGGCATCCACGCTGGGGGCCCAGTTCCTCAAGGGTGCCTTGCTCTGGAGCCTGGGGCGGGCAGGAGGGGGCCCAAGCAGCAGCCTCACCAGGGCTTGTCCTTTCCTCCAGGCGTGAACACCAACCAACTCAGAATCTTAAACAGAGAAGACACACAAACACAGCCGGGTGCCTGTGGACCTCCAAACAGCGGCCCTGATGAGGAAGTGGGTGGCTCCACGTGGACCCTGGCGACCACCTCATAGGCTCTGGAGGGGCTCAAAGTGAAACCCCTCATGTCCAGCCCCTGTGGGTCAGAGCAAGGCTTCATCTCAGGGTGACTATGGCAACTTCTCTGACCCTCCGTATTCTCTTCAGTGAAAAGAGGGTAATAAATCTTCTCCTAACAGCTCTGTCCAAGGAGCACTCAGCTCAGACTTGTGCACACTCACACACACATGCACACATGCCCACACCTCCTCTCACCCGCACACACTCACACTCTCACACAGTCATGCTCTCACACACTCATGAACTCACACTCTCACACTCTCACACACACTCACATGCCCACATACTCACACGTCCTCACACACACTTGCACACACCCTGAGGTCTGGAATCAAGATCTCCATGCACACCCAGCCCCCATGGAGGGAGATTTCTGCCAGTTGGGGACACAGGTCCCTTGGCTGGGACTGTGGGTGCTCCCCCTACTCCCCTCATGGACCTGCCCTGAGCCTGCATCGCCAGCCACAGGTCTGGAACCACACTCCCAGATGGAGTACGGGCAGCACTGAGCCATGCCGTCTGGGGTCAGGCCCCCAGGCCAGGGGAGGTCATAGTGCTGTCACAGCAGTCCCAGGCCTGGGTTCTAGTCCGGCTCCACCTCCCCCACTGTGGACCTCGGGCAAACGACCCAACTCCTCCAGTCCCCTCTGTGAGGGGGCGGCTCTAGGAGCCCCTTCCCACGGTGCCATGAAAGTGAACCTGGGGTCACCATCACTGTGGCTGGAGTCAGGCCCAGAGGGGGCCCGGGTTCTGCAGGCAGGGATGGGGCCCAGGCCTGAGCTAAGGCTGGCGTGGCCCCATTGACCACTCCTGGACCTCACATAGGGACATGGGGACGTGTCAGGCTGCCCAGAGAGGCTCCCCCCGCCCTCATTGCTGCTTCACTGCACAAAGCTAGCCAGGCTTTCCCCGCCAGGCGCCGGGCAGAGACCCCGCTGCACCCTCAGCCCTCCCCCATCCTCCAGCTCGGCTTCCCGTTGCCCAGCAGAGGGGCCCATCGATGGATGGGTCCTGGTGGGCGCGTTTTTCCTTCTGCTGAGCACTTTGAAGGCAATTAATGTTTTTACGAGAGGATTTTTAATCTGTGGATGTGGATGAAGTCCCCAGTGCCCTGTCAAGGCTCCAGCTGACCCAATCTATGATAAAAAATGCAAAGTAAGGTGCGATAATCTAAAATTAAATATCGGGCTTCATCTTCCTGCGGCCCAGATGGATGAATATTTTATACTACCATGGTTTAATTTTTTGTTAACTGCAGCAGATTTCTAATTCATCCAGTTCCTGAGTCCTGTGGCTCTGACCTCTGAACCCAGACCCATCCCTCCTTAGCCCAGCTGTGACTTCGTCACTGACAGCAACTAATGCTCATTGCCATCGGGGTGACAGGGTGGCCGCGGTGATGAATGTGGGCAGTGGCACGCCCCTCTGACCCGGTGTCAGGCAGAAGGCAGGTCATTTTTCAAGCCTTAAAACAAAACAAGCCCAAAAGCCCAGGGGAGGGGATGACACCTCTTGGTGTCGTATAAAAACAGGGTTCTATTTTGTGCATTTTCAGGGGGGCTTCTGGAAACTTCTTGGAGCCCTTCAGTGTCTCTCTTGGACATCAGTGGAGATTTTCCTGGCTGTCCTGCGTCACCTCCAGCCAGCTGACAGACAAATCTGCCAAGGCCACATGGCCAGCTGGGCCTCCCGCCTCCCTGAAGACCTGCTGCTGAGCATGACGGAGGCCACTGCTGGCCCAGGCAGCAGGGGAGGCGGATGTCTGTCCACACAGGTACCTGGGTGTGCATGGAGCTCATGCTGCCCAGCAGGCCAGGGCCCTGTTCTCACCCAGTGGGGAAACTGAGGCACAGAGGGTCACAGGGAGCCATGTCCTGGCCTCAGGTGCTGCTTAGGCTTACAGTCAGGGTCCCACACAGCCCGTCTCAGGCCCTGTAGGCTGTGTCCTCCACACCGGGGGCTTCTCAGGGGTGTTCCCAGGGCCCAGACTGAGGACGGGCCTTGGCAAGGTGCCCAGGCATGGTCCCAGGTACACACAGGGAGGGCTCTGTTATCACCTATTGTTAATTATATCCTCTATTATCAGTGACAGCATTAGTGGTGGCCTTACCCTGGCTAGCCTCTTGGAGAGGGTGGGATCTGCGAGCCGCCCCTCCCCCTCCCCCACCCTTCCCCCACCCCACCCCTACCCCACCCACCCTGGTCTGGGTGGGTGGAAGAGCCTGTCCTTGTTTCCGCCTGGAACCCTAAGTCTCCAAGTCCCAAGCCAGGCCAGCGAGGACTCCCGCTCCCCAGATGTCCCGCACCCTCACTTCGGCAGCACTGTGGGAGTGCGCAGTGCCTTGTCCTCAGGGACTGTGGTGGGGGCTGGAAGGACAGGACAGCGCTCGGGCTGTGGTCTTTCACTTCACCATGAGGGACACACACAACCTGCACAGGCGGGAGCCACCATCCTCTGGTGGCCACTGGAGCTGAGGCCCCCAGATCCCAGGTGTCCGGAGTCTTGTGTGTGTGGCAGTGCAGGTGACCCTGCCAGCCAGCCAACCTCAGGACTGAATCCAGAGCTTCTGCCAACTCTAGGGACCCCATACCCTGGTGCCCAGCTCTCACCTTTGCCTTTGGCCGGTGCGCTGGGGCAGAGCGACTGGGCAGGTTTCTCCCTTTTCCAAGAGATGTTTCTGGTCCTCTTAGTTTTTTCCCTTGGAACTTCAGCGAGAGGAAGAGGAAGAGGGAGGGAGAGTGAGGAGTGGACCCCACGTGGCCACTACACGCGCATCCTGAGTCCTGGGGTTCCGTGAGTGGGTGGGTGACCAGATGAGCCGGGCCCCCCGGAGCCCAGCAGCGAGGGCTGCAGCCAGAGGGGCGGGGTACCTGGCTCCAGCTGTGGGTCAGGCCAGCTCTGGGATCCTGGCTGGCAGAACACAGGGCCAGACGGCCCCTACACATGTCCAACTGGCCACCACTGCAACACGGGGGCCTGCCTCTGACTGCCTTCTCCCAGCCCCTACAGAAACCTCCGCCACCCTGCTGGGCCGGGGAACTCAGAAGCCAAGCACATAAAACACCTCCCAGCCTCCTCCCCTCTCCACTCTGGGGTCTCCAAAACCCTACAAGAGCCCACCTCTCTCCACCCCATGCCTGCCTTCAAACAGAGCTGCCCAAGCCCAGCTGTCAGCTGCTCGGGTCCAGCACCCCCGGGTCCAGCACCCTTGGAGGCTGCAGGGTGGGGTGAGGCGTGTGTTCCCGACAGCGCAGCCCTCCACTCCCAGAGCAGCCCGCCCGTCTCTCCACCCCTCCTCTGTCTATAGAATGAGTGAGCAAACTCAGCCACGTGTGTCCCCAGGCCCATCCCCTACCTGGAAGTCTTCTGACCCATGGCCCACCCGCAGCACCTCCAGAGCTAGGCAGGGCCTACGTCTGCCAGACGGCCCAGGGAGCCAGGGGCTGGGGGTCCTGGAGGGCCTCGGGCTGGCCGCAAGGTAGTGAGAACACCTCCTTCTGCACAGGAGATGGCTCTACAAAGAGATGCCCCTCCAGCCCCCTGCCCTGAGGGGCCTGGGATTCTCTCCCCTGAGAGGCAGAGGGTTACAGCTCAGGCTCCAAATCCCCATTAGCACCTTCTCAGCTAGGGTCCTCTCTGACCTCCAGTGTCATCTGTAAGTGGGGCCCAGCCCGTGGTATCCACACCACTCACCTGAAGCCTCATGCTGGGTGACCCGGGAGAGCTCGTGCCCCAGGCCAGAGAGTACTATGTCTTCCATTCTGGGCTCAGCTGCATGCAGGTCACTGAAGCCTGGGGCATGCACACAGAGGGGGCAGGGAGAAGGCTCAGGGGCAGCACCTCGGGCCACGCCCCGGCGAGGACACCCCTTAGTGGGAAGCTGCCTCATTAGGCCAGACCTGGCACCGACAGGTCACCACCGTGGCTTACAGAGCAGAATCTGCCCTCTTGCAGGGCACTGGTTGGGCTTGGAACCTCCACATGGGAAAGGAGGCCACAGCCCCTGGTTCAATCCCATCCTTTCGAGGCAGCAAGGCTCAGAGGGCACATCCCAGAGCTGGCCAGAGAAACACTGGGAGGGCCACGGAGGGAGCAGCCGCGGTCTCCCTGGCGTTTCATCATCTATACTTTCAGAAAGAAGCACGCTGCCTTTGAAAAAGTCACAAGGGCCGTCCTGGGGGACCCACTTCCATGAGGTGACCGGAGCCCAGGTCCATGAGACAGGAAATAGAGGGGTGGGGTCTGGGGGGGCTGGTGTTTAATGGGGACAGGGCTTAGTTTGGAATAATGGGGAAGCTTGGGAGATGGACAGAGGTGTGGCCACCCAGCAAAGGATACATTTAATGCCACTAACAGACACTTAGGGATGCCAAAGATGGCAGGTCTTATGTCATGTAGTTTACAATCATCTTTAAAAATAAGCTGCTGCCTTAAAAAAGAAAAAGGGCAGATGTCCATCTCCCTGCCTCCTTAGAAGGAGGCGCCTGGGCCAGGCCCCCTCCTGCCCAGCAGTGAGGCTCCCTAGATATGCCACCCCTCTCCAGGCCAGGAAGCGGGTGAACCTTCTGGACCCCACTCTGGCTTCTTAGGGTCCCTGACCACGCAGCTGGCCTGCTTCGGGACCAGCCCCCAAAGCTTCAGGGACAAAGAAACAGACCCAGGTTCTTTCCGCACCCTCCACGTCCCTGTCCTTCCAATGTGATTCAGCCATCAATGGGCCTTCCTCACCTAAACCCAGCTCAGAAGCCCCTCTCCAATCTCCACGTGGCTCTGGGGCCTTGAAGCCCTCGGGGCACTGGGCACATGGCACACACCTCCCTGGTGGGCCACACCGGTGCCCCTGCCTCTGGCACCCTCCCCACCCGCCTGCCTCCTGGCCTCCACAGCCTCAGGCCCAGCCTCCCTCCCCCAGCCAACCTGCCACTGACCTGGGCATCTTGTAGGGGCTGGAAGGGAGCTTGTCGCCTTGCGGGTCTTGCTCCTGGGTGCCAGCGACGCAGCTTTGTAGAGGCGCGAGGCACTGGAGGGTGCTGAGGTGCCCAAGGAGGCGCAGCTAGCCTGCCACTGCGTCTGCGCCCGGATCTTGTCCCTTAGCTGCTCCAGCCGTGGGTTGCTCTTTCTGGGATGCCGCCGGGGCCCTAGCATCTGGGGTGGCCTCTCCCTCCAGGGCCCTCTGGGAGTTGCACATGATTCATGGCCCCCAGAGGAGCCGGAAATGCGGCCCGATGACACCGAACTGTCCCCATCCCTGTCCTCCTGGCTTACAGCCCACAGGGGCAAGCTGCAGGCCTCCATACTGGGGCTTGGCTCCTCCATGCCATCAGACCAGACCACGTGAGGAATCGTGCCATGAAAGCCCAGCTGCTGGGAGGGCCCGGGCCACCCCAGGTCAGCTATGAGGTCACCCTCGGCTGCAGGTAGACCAAGACTGTCTTCCCTTGGAAAGAGTGACAGACACAGTTGGTCAGGCTGGCGGCCCAATGCTGAGCAGAGCATTCGAGACTGAGTCCCCTGTCCCTGCAACCCCTGCTCCCACAACTGTCCCACAGTAAACACTCTTTCCCAGGGTCCTGGCCCTGACCATCTCTCGTGGGGTCTGACCATGCCCTGTTGAGGTGGGGATCGTCATCAGCCCAATTTGCAGGTGGGAAAACTAAGGCTCAGAGGCCAGCCCACACCAAGGCGCTGGCAGAGGCAGGCCCAGGACCTGAGCGCTGACCTCCATGTCCTGGTGTCGTCCACCAGGGCACTGCCTGGGGAAGGCAAGACCCCTGCAGTCTGCCCCACGCATTAGACGACACACAGACACTACCTGGGCTTGGTCTTCCTGCTCCCCGTTCTCCCCAGGGTCCTGACAGACCAGAGACCCTGCTGCTGGCTATCCTTGGGGAAGGGCTGGAGTGCTCTCCGCAGGTAGGTGGGCAGCCTGCCCAAGACTGGGGTTGGCATGGCCAGTAGCCAAGGTGGGTGAGCACCAGGGCGAGCCCCAGCCGCCATCAGCCTGACGGTGGGCTCACATGGTGGCCTCAAGGTCTACAGCCCAGGGCCCATCACTGTGCTGGACAGGCTGGCCACTGCCTGGCTCTGGATGTTGGCCTGTTCTGGCCCCCTGGCCTACAGTGGAAGCCCTCAGGACGGTCATTGAAACTGGGTGGGGACAGTGGGTGCAGGCCCTGAGCTGGCAATGGCTGGGGTGGGGGCTTCCTAATGAGTTGCCTCTCAGTGGGGTGGGAGAGAATTCCAGGTGTCCCCATGACAGCATAATAACCCCGTGTCACTCAGCGACAGAGCCTGAGCCCTTCAACTCCTGCTGGGGCTCCCACCAACACTCCCAGATGTCCCCCAAAGCCAGGAGTCCTGGCTTGCGTCCTCCTCCCCGGGAGCTCGAAGAGACACATCCCAGGGGTTCCATGAACCTGCCCGGCAGGGCCGCGTGGTGGGGTGGACATGGGTTCTGTGTGTGGCTGGTCTGGGGCGCAGCTGGTCCTGAGGTCGAGTGGGGGAAGGGAGACCCTGCCTCTCCCTGAGGACTGTGAGTGCCCGTGAGTTCTCTGCTGCGTGGCTGATAGGGACAGGTGTGGAGATGCAGGAATCTGTCTTGGGATGTGCCCCAAAGGTGCTCCTTTGGAGTGGTCCAGAGATAAGGAGTTGACAGCAAAAGTCCCCTGGTTCTAGGTGGCATGAAGAAAACCTAAGTCTTTATTGTTTTATTTTTGGGGTTGGGGGTGGAAGCCAGGCCCTCACACGTGCCGGGAAGGCTCTCTGACACGGAGCCACACCCCTGCCCTTCCCGGGGCTTTTTTATACAGGGCCTAACCTAGGGAAAGGGTGTCAAGCCAGGAGGGCTGCCAAGCCCAGGCCCCACCTGGAATCTGAGGCCCCCCAGACCTCCCTGCAGCCAGGACACTGCCACAGCCAGCAGGACCCGAATCCAGCCCAGGGACACGGCCCAGCCTGGTGTCCCACTCTGCTAGGGCTCCTGGCTTCCCTGGGGATGACATTTGCAAGAGATCAGAAGTCCCAGAGAGGAGACTAGGGCTGCCGCAACTGGGGGCCTGGAAAAGGCTGAGGAACTTCTGCAACCTTCTAGAGTGTCACGCAGCAGATCTGGGCTGGCACAAGAGGCTGGGGGCAACAGGGAGTGATCATGTGTCACCCACGCCATCCTGGAAGCCTGAACCACTCTGAGGTGATCCTCGAAGACAGCTCCACCTCTGGCTCTCTCTGGTTCCCAGGGAGCCTCCCCACCCTGGGACTGAACACCCGTCTGCTTCCTACAGACATGGCCCTGGGCCATCCAACCACCAAAGGACTGGCCCCTTTATTGACCGTCACCTCCTCTCTGCCGGGCCTTCAGGCCCCCATAGCACCCAAGTCCAGGACTCCCCAGCCCTGCTCCCAAAAGCGGGGGGCAGAGCATCTGAGGATCGAGGCTGGACACACCCTGCCCACGGCCCGCTGCTGATCAGCCCACGGGTTGTCGAGGCCCTGGTTTGACGGGAGAGAGCCACACACAGTGGCCAGAACCGAGTGAATACTTTCCTGTACAAAGAGCAAAAGCGTGGAGAGGCCTGGCTGAGGACAAAGCCAGGGCGGAGCAGCTGCTGTCCTGTGGGCTGTGAGGCCACCGATCGCTGCCCTCTGCTCCCTACCAGCCGTGCTGGGTGCTGCTGGGTCCCCTCAGGCTGCTCAATCACAAGGCTTCAGGACACACTCCAAACCAGGGGGCCCACACTGGCTCCCCAAAGCCTGGAGCCTCTGCTCATGTCCAGTCCATGCCATGGCCAAACCTGTGCAGTCTGTCTCCTGCCCCCACGACCACCACCCCTGCTAGCAGGGTGGGTCTCTGTGCTGGCCGCAGAGTGGCCAGGAACAGAGGCTCCCAGAAGACCAGTGGGCAGAGGCCAGAACCTGGGTCAAGGAGCCTGCACGTGTCCCTGGCAGCACCGTCACCTCAGCTGGGCCTCTGCAGGCCCAGGGGAAGGTCCATGCCAACCAGGGCCTGCTCCTGGACTCCTGGTGCTGGCCAACCCACTACCTCCTTGGCTTCTACCACTGGAGCTCCACTCTGGTGCACAAGGCACATACCCCTTCCCCGGCCCTCTGGCCTCCTCCCTCCCCTCTCCCCCTGGGAGGACAGTCCTCTAACACCCCACAGTGTGAAGGGCCTGCCCACTCCTGTCCTTGGGGGTGCCTGCCAGATCCCTGTCCACCTCTCCTGTGGGGTCGTGACCCATGTCAGCATGTAAACACACCCCTTTATCAGCAACATTCACTGCATGGCTGGGCACTTGTGCTACCCTGTGACAGTCCCTTGAGGGACGTCCACTTATTACCTTTACTATAGGGGAGGGACTTGGGGCTCAGCTTGAGTCCCAGGTCCAGGGGCCTGGGGGGGTCAGGAAGCTGGCATGCCAAGTCATTCCCACGACCTCCCACACCCCCAGGGCCAGGAAAATCCGCTGATCCTGGGGGTCCCAGGGCCATGCGGAGCCCTGTCTGAGGGCTGGCTTCTTGGCAGGGTGGGCTGGGAGGAGAAGCCAACAGGGCATCCCCGGGTACCCCTGCCCATCCCCGGGTACCCCTAGGCAGGGAGGGCCCAGGGGCTGAGACACCAGGCACCCTCAGGATGTCAGGCAAGCTGTGCAGCCCTCCGGGCCCTGGCCCACTCCTCTGCGAAGCGAGCGGAACCTCGTCCCCGTGGAGGCGCCCTCGGGAGTCCAGAAGACACATGGAACACCAAGTTCTCGGCTGGGCCTGCAGAGTGGAGGAAGGAGCCAGGGAGGGAGCCCAGGCACCCTGTCCCTGTCCAGCCTCCCACCCCTGTGCCGGCCCACAGCCACCACCCAGTTCCAAGACTGGGCTGCACAGGTATAGACAGGGCGGGGCTCAGCAGGCAGCAGCGCCGCAGAGGCCCCCAGCCCCCCGCAACTGCGAAAAGCACACAGGCTCCAACTGCAGCATATGCCTGACTCTGCTGCAATCTGGGCCGCGGAAGGTGGGCGGGGGCGGGAGGCCCCCCTTCTGGAAGCTGGCAGCTCTGCTCTAATTAGCAACACTGTTTACTTCTCACCGCCTCGGCCCTGGAAAGCAAAGCCCAGCAGGGCCGGGCAGTGCTGCACAGCGAGAGGAGAAGGGCACCATGCCCGTCACCCTGGGGGCCCCAGGGCCTGAGGCCACAGTGCCCAGCAACAGCAACACAGGCCCGGGTGTTGGCATGGCACCCTGCCACCAACTGCCCTGCCCTCCGCAGCCCCACGGCCGCCGGCGGCACAGCTGCACCCCGAGGCCACCAGGCTGCCAGGGCCAGGAAGGCAGCAGAGCCTCAGGGTCCCCACAGCAGCCCAGCTCTTCAGGCTCGAACAGGTCACAGTCACAGCCAGGGAATGACATGTAGAGGGCCAGAGGCTCTGGGCCCCCGAGTCAAAGCACAGGTCTCCCCTGTGGTGCACGCCACACACACACACACACACACACACACACACACACACCCCAAAGGGTCTGCAGAGCAGGGCAGGGCTTTTCTGTGCGTGTGAGTCTGGGCAGTCCGTCCGTCCAGCCCACTGAAGCTTCCACTGGCCTTGCGCCAGGAGACAGGGGACACAGAGGCAGCAGATGCCAGGGCGGGACTTGGGAAGACCGTGGGGAGTGGGTGCCACTGGGAAGCCAGATGGAAGAGCCCAAGGAGTGAGACGAGGCAGAGATGGCACGTGGCAAGCTGTCCTGTCGCGGGTGCTGTAGTCCGAGGCGGCGGCGGGCAGGGAGGGCTGTCACTGCTCCTGCAGAGACCCCAGCTGCACCGCCAGCTCATAAGACCCAGAAGAAGACCCTGGGGGACACATCCAGGTGCCAAGGAGAGGCTCCACCAGGGCCTCGCCACAGAGGGAGGTCCCAGGCAGCCCCTCCACACCTGACCCCAGGCCTGGTCAGCCTCCTCCACAGCCAGGGCAGGCACCTACCTCCCACCTGAGAAGGCCCGTGAGGAACGGGCCTCCTGAGCTGGCCCTCCAGGGCACCCAGACCCTGCCTGCAACACCTTACCTGGGGTGGCCTTGACTCCACACTTCCCTGTGAGGGAGGCTGTGACCTTGCCAACTGTCACATATGCAGAGCAGGGACCCCTCTCAGTACCACCTCCCTCAAATCATGGGTCCTCAGAGCAGCACACAGCTGTGGGACTTGTGGCCTGACCCCCCAGCAAGGGGGTGCCACCTGAAAAAGGAGCCCGAGCACACAGCACCACTTCCTCAGGGACCAGAGCTCCCTCAAGGGCTCAGATGGCCAGCAGAGGGCCAGGGCCTTGAGGGTCTAGCTCTGGGCCTCCGTCCTGGACTGCTCCAGACTTACCTCACAGACCCTAATGGGGGCTCTACAGCAAGGCGGGTCAGCCAGGGAGCCAGGCCACATGCCAGAGAGCTTTAGCAGGTTGCCCATACTGGGCTGGGCTGTCCTGGCCAGTGCAGCCTCTCCTTGTCCCCACCCCACTGTCAGGATAATGGATTTGCCAGGTGGGCCCAATACTGAGCCTCACGTCAGCCCAGATTCCCACTTCACAGACGGAGATGGTGACAGTGCTCACAGGAGCTCACCTGAGCTCGGAGGGCGGCAGCCCTGCAGGCAGGGCAGGGGAGAAGCCCTCCCAAGGCAGTCTCGCTCTGCCTCGGGGCCCACACCCTCAGAGGGGGCAACACAGGAAGATTCCCCCAGGGGAGCTGGGTAGAGGAACAGGGAGCCTGTGCCCCCTGTTCCCTATCTCTGCCCCCCTTCTGCCCCAGCCCCCTCCTCCAGGTGCTTGGTGCAGACTGGGCAGGGTTCAGGTAGATCTCCCCAGGTACTCACCCACTGGAGGGCTCCAGGTCTCCCTGTCTGCAGGAGGACGCTGGGCAGCAGCCACACTACAAGGCCAGAGGAGTCCACAATGCGAGTGCCCTGGAGCTAAGGACTCCAGGTGCCCAGTTGCTGAGGGAAACTGCCCCGCCCAGAGGTTGCCAGAGAAACCCCAGCCCTACCAGAGTTTGCAGCTCCTCCTCCTCCCTGTGCAGCCCAGGGGACTTGTATTCCTGTGCCAGGAGCCAGGAGCCAGGAGCCTCACCTGAGTAACCACCACTTTGAGGTCAGGGTGGGGTGCACACCTGAGGCCCTGTACCCTGCTGGGTCCCATATGTGGGGATGAGGAGGGACAGAACCTGGAGGTCTCCGTACCACCCAACACCAACCTCACTGGGGAGGGGGTGGGCAGGCACTTGGGACACCCCATCCCCACTGGGTCCCCTGGGGCAGTGGGGCGTGTCTCAGGCCTAGTGGACCTTGGCACTGCCCCCTGCCAGATTGCTGTCCCCTCCTGACTGCCCCCTTCCCAGGGACCATCAGCACAGCTGGCCTTTAACAATGCACCTGGCAGCTGGAGCTAATAGGACCCTGGTGGCAGAATTCTAGCTCCAAGCTTCTGAAACATGGTACCTGTGGCGGGGGCTGCCTGGCTGGGGCCTGGCTGGCAGGCGGACAGGCAGGTAGGTAGACTGGCACCACTAGGTCCAGTGACACCAAAGTCAAAATCTGTAGAACCACAGCTACAGGACACATGCAGGACTGTGGCAGGTGGCCGTGGGGGCACAGGGCTGCTGGCCTCAGTCTCCTGGGACCAATCACCCTTACTCCTGGTGTTGAAGTTTTCCCAGGGGTCCTTAGACTTGAGTTTTTCAATGTGCAAGGCCTGGAGCCCTGGGGGCCTAGGCGTCCTCACTGAGAACAGGCAGCTGGTTGTAGTCCTCCTAGGCTGCCAGCAGGTGGCGCCCTCTCCCCATCGTGGTTTGGGAGTCCCCTGCAGGGAGGTGGTGGAAGCAGGAACTGAGGGGCTCTAGGCCACCCATCACCCACCCCAAGAACACTGGAAAATAGCCCCCTTCCAAGAAACTCCTCTAGATATTTAGCAAATTTGGTTTTGGCACAAGCTGGGATCGTCCTGGTCTTTGGAATACTTGGGTGGGGGGACTCTGCCTCCTGAGGCAGCCTCCAGGACAGCAGCCCTGGGCCCTGGATAGTTGCTCAACACAGTCCTAGGCAAGGCCTCCTCAACCAGAGCTGGGCTCCCCACAGCAAGACCACCCTGGAAGTGGCTCTGCCCATGGCCAGACAATCTGGGAGGGTGACGCCTGTGGTCAGCAGACTGGGTGCTAGAGCTTTGTGGACTTGCCCAGGCCATCTCCCCGCCACGCCAGGAGGGGCCTGGCTATCCTGGACGAGGGCCAGTCCTCAGGCTCCTGAAAACTTGCCCAGGTGTGCTTTGGGCCAGGTGTGCACTGGTTCTGGGCAAGTGGGGATACGGTTGACTTTGTCCTTCAACATCAGAGAAACAGGGAGAAGCCCTGCCCCGGGGCTGAGCGTGGAGTCTGGAACCTGCAGGGAGGAGCTGAGATCCTGGGAGGGTTTCTGGATATCCCCTACCAGTGTCCCTTCACCCTGGGTGATGTCATCCAAGTCAGTCAGATATGACCTCCACATTCCCAGAGGGCCCAGCCGCCCTCCTGCTGCCCAGACCCAGCTCTGGTCCCTCGCTATCTGCATGCTCCCCAGCTTGGGCCTGGATGCTTCCTGGCACTGCCCCATGGATGCTGAGGTCCCTGTCACAGTTGCTGGAGGTGGGGGAACACAGGTGTGTGTAGGCCAGGAAGTCTCAGGTCCCCAAACCCCACATACCAAAACAAACCTAATTTTTTTTTTTAAGGAAATGCACCTACTCAAATAGGTCTCTAGCTTTGAAAGCACATTCTAGTGCAGACCCCACACTTCAGTTGGACCTGTGCTTTCCTCCCGGTCCTGGCACTCCCGCCTCACCACCTCCTCTGCTGCGTTCTCTCTGGCTTATAGCAGCAGGGACACCACTGGCCCTCTCAGGGAGGCACAGAAGGCCTCAGGTGGCAGCAGTGAGCCACATCCTCCCAGGGGCAAGTGTCGGAAAACTCCCTCTGAACCAGCAGAGTCAGGCTGCTGCAGGGTCTCAAAACGCACCTGCCCCTGCACTCAGGGTGCTGGCCATCCACACCACCGGCGTCTGTACCCGCTCTGCTCTGGCCCTCGGGGCCCTTCCTCCTGTGCTTCTGCTCCATGTCAGAGGCAGTGGCCCCAGCGCTGCGTGTTGGGCTCACCCAGGTAACAAGGACCCAGACTCTTACGACCTACACACTGATTGGTTCCCCCCACACCAGAAGCAGGGCTGGCACCCAGGGTCTTTCTGCACCCGCTCACGCTGAGCGCCCACACAGCTCCTCTGAGGGTGCCACTCTTCCTTTGTGCTGGGAGCACATCCTTCTGGTGGCACAGAGAGTCATGGAGATGGCAATGACATGGTGACCTCCATGGGCAAGAGAGACTGCAGCCACCAATGGGGCAGCCCAGCCCCTTCCTGCAGCGTAGGTTAAAGATGGTGACCGAATGGGGGATGTCGCCCAGCAGAAAGCCGGCTTTACACAGGAGCCCAGGGCCTGAAGAGTTGGCCAGAGAGGGGAAGCACACAACAGTCTGAAGCTGACCCTCAGTCCCTCTCTACAGGGCCCTGCGGTCACTGCTCTGAGAAAGGGAGGCCTGGTCAGGGCTGTGGGCACTGTGGAGCCCAGTCACTGCTCCCTGCTGGAGCAGGGATTTCCAGGCTCCACCAGGATCCAGCTCACAGTGGCCACTCTCCTGCCTCTGGACTGCACTTGGGCTGGTGCACCCCCGCTGGGCCACCCTGGTCTGTGAGATGAAAGATCACAGTAAGGGGGTTGCAGGAGCCTGTGAAGCATGTCCCTCCTGGCCAGCAGGCTGTCCTGCATGTGGGGGCCAGTGGGGCCAGTGTCCTAGAGGACCTCAAGGGAGCAGTGCTGCTGGGCCCCTCACAGCTCTGCCTGGTTACCAGCCCTGTCCAGCTGAAGCAGTCAGACCCCGGCATGGCCAGTGACTCTGCCCAGCAGTGGACAATCCCAGCCTCTGGAACAGAGGCAGGTCTCTGCTAGTTTGAGAGAGGAGGCTCAGAGCACCGTCCTCCTCAGCACCCCGCATTCTATTTTATTTTTTTATTACTTACACATGATGGTACAATGATCTTGACATATCATACATTTGAATCAAATGGGGTCTAATTTCTCATTTTTCTGAGTGTGCAGGTTGCAGAATCACATTGGTCACGCAGTCACGTACATACATGCAGCAGTCATAATGTCTGTTTTATTCTGCTGCCCTTCCTATCCCCCCTTCCCCTCCCCTCCCCTCTATCACCCCGCATTCTAGACATGCCTCCTGCAACCATGCTCAGCCCTGCCAGGGCCGCCTCACCTCCTGCCTCGGCCACGCTTCCTCAGTGGCATGATGCAGCTGGCTGATTGAGCAAGAGGCCTCGGTGCTGCTAAGGGGTGGTGGCCTCAGGTGGCAGCTGCATGCCTCGTGCTCACTCACCCAGAAATTCTGAGGGCTGCCTCATCCATAAAAATTCTAGAGGCCTAGCGGTCAGGGCGTTGCTGGGCATCCCTTCCAGGGTCAAAGCTAGGTCACACCTGTGGGACGGTCAAGGCTCTGCTGGTACACAGGCCACACCCAGGGACATTCTCTGGCTACTTTCAGGTGACTGTGAGGCTGCCAGGTTTGAGCAGGACTCAGCACAGGGCCAGCTGCTGTGTAGGCAGACCTGTCCCCAGGCTGTGCGACCAGCAGACCGTGTGGTGTTGGATGCAGTAGAACCCAGGGGGTGGGGGAGGGGCGAGTGCCAGCCAGAGACTCACGGCCCAGGTCCCTGGGGTTGAAGTCAGCTGACATCCACTGTAGCGAGTCACATGCTGTCATGGACCAAATGTAGGTACGTCTCCAGAAGTCACGTTGAAGCCCCAACCCCAGTGTGGCTACAGGAGGTTGAGGTCTAATGACCTGAGAGCAGGGCCCTGGTCAGTGCTGGCCCTCTCAACCCCAGCAGGCCACGTGAAGACAGAGCAACAAAGGACACTGGTGCAGAAAGAGCCCTTGCCAGCAACTAGGGCAGCCATAGCCACCATCGTGGACTCCAGCCCCGGACCGAGATGTGGCCCTGTATGCCCATACTAAGTCCCGTGGTGCCCAGGTGATTCAGCACCCAAGCAGACTGAGACACCTGGCCTTTGGAGAGCGCACCCCCATGTGCTTCTGGATCCCACACGGAGCAATCATCTGGTCAAGAGCCAGTTTGATGGGCAAGAACTACCTGTTGTGAGCAGGGTCCCATCAGACCCAGTACTAGGGTGGGGAGGACTCAGCATGGCCACTGCCCAGGGAAGGTGGGCACACCTAGGATGGGGCATCTGCACCCTCCTCCAGCCCACTCCTCTGGCTCCAGTGGGGTCTGGTGGAGCCAGCCAGAGGAGGAAGAGCTGGCCACAGCCCGTTATGGATAGGCTGGCCCAGTACAACCCCAGAAAGATGGTGGCCATGACTCAGTCTACCCCGTGGCAGCCCTGGGAGGCCAAGGTGGATGGGGAGGGCAGTAAGTGTGGGAAGGGAGACTACACAGTCACGGGCAATGGCAAGTGGCCAGCTAGGAACCAAACCGAGAAAGACTGACCATCAGGGAAGGACATGTGTGTGGAGGTATGGCGATGGGCACCCGGTAGTAGAACAGTGCATGAAGACCTTCACGCTGGGATCTCTGTCCCAGAGCACCCGCCAGCAGAAGACGGCCAGCAACTAAGTCCAGGGCTCTGCCCAGCCAGCTGAGCACTGTCACCCACCACCAACACGTGGCATGGTGCAGGGATGCTGTAAACTCCTGGGGACCAGGTCAGTCCAGCACCGCTGCCCAACAGTGCCCAGGCCACCAGCTGCAGAGGCAGGCTCAGCACATAGGGTGCCGTGCTCACCAAGGCCAGGCTCCCCCAGGGCCTCTGTTCCAGAGGGCCAGCCGTCCCTTCTCCCCGAGCACACGTGC